AGGTTCTCGACATCGTCAGTGACGGTTCTTCTGGTACCCGAAGCTATAAGCATAGAAATTTATGGTAAAATAGACGCTTATATGGCGTAACGGGGCATCGCGAAAACGAATTAAACAAGTCGACTACTTGTAACCGAAAGTTGGAATTTCGCGCGACCTTGGCGCTACTAACGGTGAAAAAAGAAAGTATGACTGAGAACGATCCGAACTTTAACGCTCTGTGTAAGCTGAAAAGTTGTATTTTCTTGTTCATTTCATGACTTGCGTAATCTTTTGATGTTTCTGATCTAATTTATTGAACTTGTAGCGTCACACACTTCCCCAAAGTCAATAGCCTAGAGTTCGACAACTTCGACATTGATGCTGACCTTCATAGGCTAACTGGAATCGCTAAGCTGAAGGCACCCGGTCAAGCATCTTCGCCATTTAGCAGGCTGTCGTGTTACGTTGCACTGCTCGTATCCGACTCTCTGGCCAGTTAGTTGGAACGCATCGGTATTTTGGCACAACCATCCAAATATACTATTCCATTCGACTACGCTATCGTGTTCTTCCTTGGTCCGAATAATTAGTGATTGGTCTTCGCGTCTGTCAAGTTCGCACAAGGATTAATCCTAAAATCTCCATTCCGTACCATTTAGATCCCGTAAAGTCTTGTAAATTTCTTAACATATATCAATCTGATGATGCCTGTAAACTAGCTTCTCTCATGCTAAATTACTAATGTGAGAATGATCTATTCATTGTTATTATTATTATGAACAATTATCCCAGTGTTTATCTGTCCCATTCTTTGCTGTCTGCAAGGCATTACCGTTCTTACTCTAGACGCATCTTTTGTGTACCGGAAAGAACGGCGTCTATTGTATGGCTTCACACTGTACATAACGGTCAGTTCACATTACCAAAATGATCAGACCTATTAACTGGTTTGTTTTCAATTGACTTATGTTGCATGAAATATATTGTTATGACATTCAACTAAAGAAATATCGCATGCTTGTAAACATAAATCTTTCAACTGATGTACCGGGATATGGTCAGGAAGATCGTACACCAAAGCATTATGGGACGACATAATTCTTTTGGTGACTTCCTCTGCTACGAACTGAATCAGAAGATAACATTTGTGTAAGTTCTCGGAGTTACCATTAATACCAGTATTTCTGTCCCGAACACACGCAAAAGGGGCATGTTTAGAAGGGTTGTTATTAATATCCTTCACATTACTCTGCAGTGAAGGTACGTCATTTTTTATACCAGCTGAGTCACTAATTAAATCTGACGTCGAGTTTGGTACAACTACCTCAGGCGTACCTTTCAAAAGAGTTTCAGAATCCATCAACGACTTTTATCTTTTGGCATAAGTCTCCACACTGCACATATACGTTTACTAGATTTGGCCACCGTTGTAATTATCTGACGTAAAAGCTTCGGATTATTAATAGTAGTGTAAACTTTGTTCAACTGTTAATATTTTCGAGTGAATGGAGATGAGATACACAGAAACAAACAAATTTAATCGATATAATGAAGATTAATAAATAAATAAAAATCCTCTAGACTTCTCTTTGTATTCTTCCGGTTCAGTAGAATTCCTTCAACTAAACGGTTCTAAAAACTGTGGTAACTGTGCTGAAGTTCTTACATATGTATGAGATTAGACCCAAAATACGACGTGACAGAAAAAGCCGGGGGTGGGTCACTAGGTTATAAGCTAGTGTGATGAGTCAGAAGATAATCCCAGATAAAACCTCTGGGCAGTTACTGAACCTGCATAAAAATCAGCCCGCTAAACTGCCTGGTTATCGAACAATGCACAAAAAGCGATAGCAACGTGACAACAAGAAACACGTGACGTCAAATCCATAGAGCGCGCTCACCATTTACATCCGCAACGTTTCCAAAATCACGTAACCCTGCTGATGGTCAGCTAGAGGAAAAAATCAAAAATATATGACATAGTGGAATACGATGGGACCTCAAGCGCGAGATCATGGACCACGACCAGTGTAAACGGCGAGCAAGATGTTCTGGAAGTCCATTTGGTGCATTCAAACAAGTCTATTGCTTCTGGATGCTGGAGTCGGAAAAGTGAAGATATTTGGCTTTCAGTCATAATATTCATCAAGATTATTAGTCTCCGATGCGGAATGGTATTAACGTGCATGAATTATACAGTCCTGGAATCGTCAATGAAGTACAATATGTAAACAATTCATGTATACATTCCCCATAAACTTGTCATTGTTATCTCAAGCAAAAAGCACAAACTGTTACAACGAAAGTATTACCTTCAATCTTTATTTTTCTCCGGGTTATACCTGTAGTGTCTAGATACAAACCTGGTTTCTTTTGTTAATGCGAAGACAATACTTCCGCCTGTCAAACTTGTAAATTTTCTTCACACTTATTCTTTTGGTGTGTTCCGTCATATGAACATGCAGCACTTACATTTTATAGTGACGGTGGGCAGGAATTCAGATCACCTTCCTTGAAGATGAATGTAATTTGCGTATAAACTTATTCGTAACTGTAAAAATGATGTATGCCTGCATATTCAGGAATGATTGTTATTATTATCCGTCTGAGCACAGGCGGAGATGACAAACACACATCGCTTCTCTTGCCGGTTACTTCTTACTCGATATGAACCTTCTAGCATAACAGGACATGGATGGCTGTTGATGAGAATCCAGTCGATTAGGGCATCTTCGACTCGAGTGCTTAGTGCGACACAACACCAACAAGGCCGGCTGTCGATGCCGAAGAGTCCCTGGATAGGCTCGCACGAAACATAATTTTCGAACCGACAGATAGAAACGTGTTCGAAGCACTTCACTTAGATCTTTTATGTGGATCTGTGAGATGCATCATACATGAATGGTGAGGCTTCCCAGAGTCCTAGCCAAATTCGCCTGTTGTTCGATCTACACCAAGGTGTAAGAGTTGAGTATGAAGAGCCTAAACGATACGCGTGGCTTCGGGAAGGGTGTGCCGGGTGTCGCACTGGGGGACGGCCGTATGGCACCAACTGTTAAGCGGCTCAAAAAGATACAGACATACCAAAAGTTTGAGCTGTGGAGAGCAGCTGAGTGGAGTGAAAACAAAGACCAAGGCGGAAATGGCTTTGATAAAAAATTCATGTGTAAGTGTTGCGAAACTGCACGGGGGCCCAAGCCGAAGCAGGACGCAGTCGGAAGCACTGTTGATAATTTTTCGAGTGTTCTTCTACCGCTTTCTTTCAACGACAGCAAGCACGATATCCACAAATTGAAACCAGGGCCTTGGTGTGGTCGACAGCGACACCACAGTTTCCAATTTTCACACTACTAGTTCTGCAATTAGTTCTCGTATAGGCGATCCGGTTGGTGCTCCTCTTGCACATTTCTAGAGCTTATAAATACCTTAAGAACATGTTGTTAAAAATTGATAAGCTGGTTTAACCAGGCGGAAAAAATGTTGTAACATTTTATCCTAAAACATAACTGGTTAACTTGAGGTGTTTAAAGCTCTGACATTCAAATGCATCATCACTCAATCGTCTTCAACATGCCTACGATACAGCTTTCCCAGAAATTTCGTAGAAGGATTGATAGAGTGGCCACACGACCATAAAAGATATTTTTCTGGAGGGTTCTTTCGATGTATTTTGTGCGGAGGTTTCTGAGTGCGAAACGGCTTGTCGCAGGGAGATGTTCGGTTTGTGTGTCCTTCTTTGCAGAAGAGCGAAAGAATATATCTACTGAACTTCATTTCCCGTTCGTATTTTGCAATTCGACTCGCTCTGAAGAGTTTGTTCAAGGTTTTGTCGGTGTCAAAGTATGTTATACCGGCCAATGAACGTAATGCCAAAGAAAGATTAGGCAAGCTTTATCGGCAAAGCAGACTGCAAAAACCGCGAAAGACTCCACACCGGACAGAGTGGTTACCTTGTAGCGGCACAACAGCCTAGGGTTCCTAAAACCCTATTCGTACTCGTCCGCGTCAACTAACAGCGATGCATGATGACATATCTTCACTCATATCGACACGCATAGAAAATTGCGGACGTTATTTCTACCTAAAAGTGGGTTGGTCTCGGATGGAAGAAATACGAAGTATGCCAGAGAACTTTTAGAAGCTTGGTATTCAGGCCAGTCAGCGGTCAACAGACACATTCACATTGAAACAATCTATTACCCAGCAAGAAACAGGAGAAACAAAATGAAGGTCAGGGTTCAAACCAGTAGGATAAGAAGTCGGAGTTTATGTGAATATAGTGGTACTATTCTTTCGGAAGCAACCAATCACACCCGACATAGTCGGGGCGAGCCGCTAGACCACTTATGGAGAAAATCTTATAGCCCACTCCTTTCCAAGGTTTTGTTCACGATGTTACCCAGAATGACAATGAGAGCTTCCATGCAAAAGTATCCAGCCCGGAGAAAACTGCGCGGTGACGTTGTTGATATTCACACTATTCCTAACAGTTTTTAGTGATGACATTTTAATCCTACTACCCGTTGTGACGACATTTGAAAGACAGGACAATATTTCCTAAAGCCTCGCCAGGGAATACATTCCATTTTGTTTCATCTGATGCTTCTCAAACTTGGTATGTTTTCCCGTTAATAGAATTGGAGCCGAGCTTCTCCACTTTTGGAGAGAATCTTATAGCTCACTCCTTTCCAAGGTTTTTGTTCACGATGTTTCCTAGAATGACAATGAGAGCTTCCATGTAAACTTATCCAGCTAAAGGAATACAACATTGTGGAAATTACTTTTCTGAGCTGCAAAGATTCCCAATGTTTTCAGGAGTATTAATGCTGACCATATCGCCTTCACAGGAAATGGGATATGATTGTGTTTTCAATTATTGAAATTTGTTTTTAATAGCGAATTCATGTAATTTCATTTACTGCGACTCACATGGCGTGAAAGATAATTTGTTTGACAAGTCTAGATTTCTACTGGTGGCCTTTGATGTTGTATCTTGTAGACAAGCGCCTATTTGAGATATGCCTCACTTGTCGCTGTTTGATCCAATAATTTTGCACTTCGTTAGTTCTTCTGAGTTAGTTGAGAAGGTTGTCACGAGTAAAATCATCCGAAATTCGGGTGTATCTCTTAGAATACGCCCTCTATCTTCATCTGACTATGGTAGAGCTGTACATTTTTGTTGTTTATTTTATAGGTTATGTTGTTTTGTTAAAACAGTTAACTACAGTAGGCGATATATCAAAGGCCAAATTTGATGGTAACGAATTCATAAACCTAATTTCTTTATCAGAGAGATTTTCTCAGATGATCTCTTGTCCAGGTACTTACTTCATTATAGTTTTAGAGGACGAAAGAACTGGACGTCTAATTGGCGCTGCAACTCTTCTTGTTGAATTGAAGTTTATTCATACCTGTTCCAAGGTAGGCGCATTTCTGCTCTATTTTTGTTCAGAGAGGTCATATTGAAGATGTTGTAGTTGATTCTGAATTTCGTGGAATGAATTTAGGAAAACTGTAAGTTCTTTCTTGACAACTGTACGGCACACTGTTTTGTTCTTTGTTTCGAAGTTTGTTTGTAATGCTCACTTTCAGTTTGAACAATAGCTTTACGCACTTGCCAACTGGCATGTTTTTTAATGGTCTTATATATGTTAACTAATATGGCTGTATTGCCCATCACTACCAGTCATAAGAAGTACCTTATCTACGTGTAATTACTAATATCAAATTGCAGTTAGAAGGACATGTCTATGTATTTTAGACTCTCAGAAAAACAATAGGCTTCTCGGTTTGGAGTTGAGAATTGTTTCTGAGAGAATGTTCAAAACTACATCATAGAACTTGATGCAACTGCTAAGCAGCGAGATAAAATACTAAAACTAGTTTTTTTAAATATTCTTCTGTTATCTGAGACCTAAGAATGTTTTTCTACTAAGATGCTGCAGTACAACGAAAATAACTATAGCTCTTGAAATTTTGCTGGTTTTTGGGACCTAGTTCTGAATCCAATTAGGTGTTAACCTAAGCAAAAGTAAATAGCATATTTGAATGCTTTAGATAAGTGCTGGGCTAGAGAGTCAGTTCATACTGCATGAAATTCATGGATAATAAGTAATGTAAGCCTAATGAGTTCATACTCTTCAACACACTTGGCAGGCTAATCTGCACTACCAGCTACATTTATTGCCTATTCTAATCCATGGCTTATCTAGAGGGAGGACGTCCTCACAACCTTTCATGGAGTTCAGAGAAACTGTCATGAGTAGTAGTTTGACTTGTGGTATTTGAGTATTTCGTGAAGGAAGGAGATAACCTTGATAGTTGGAAGTAGTCGGCACATGTCTCATTGTAGAACTGTTCTTCCTCTGGGAAAAGGATTTTAAGACTATTGAGTTGGAACAAGATAACAGGTGGCTCTCCAGATACGTTTTTTTTATCATAAACACAAACCTAACCTTTCGGTACATTTGGCATGCAGTTTTTCGTTTTGCCTCACTACTGCAGTGTTTTCAGCGTTTCTATATGTTTAATCGTAGATCGATGAGATGGCACAGTTTTCTCCTATCTTAAGTTTTCCTGTGGTCGGGAGGGTGTGGTGGTTTCCTCGTGCGTTGATGTGTGTGGAGATGCAGTCCTGACTTTTTTCGTAGTTCCCCTTATTTTTTTCGTGACACTTTCCTTACTATGTTTGGATAAGTTAATCGTTTCCCGCAGGGTATTTTCGACACTGGGAGTTTTCCCTTCCTAAAAGCATCAGTAGTCTCCTTTTTTCAAACTTAGCTAATACATTTGAAAGTATTCTCATGGAAACATTTCCCTTGTAAGCCCAATGGGCTCATCCGTGTCACTACTTGGGAACTTCTGTTTGGACGATTATAGCAGTATTAGAAAAAGGACTACAAGCGGCGGTAGAAAAAACAACGGTTGGAAAAATAATGGTAGAACTGAACGTAGAAGGGAAAGACATTAAGTTGGTTCACCTTGTCATTTGATACTCTGCACTGCCAAAAATTTCAACTGTGGGCTCTCGATGATTATGCTAAACCGGGAAGGATATTTCCTGAAGACCGATCTCTGAAAGAAACCAAAGGCTAAGGCACTTGAGAAGTCAAAACCAAGAATCGCCATTGGAGATAGTTTAGAAGGTTTGCAGAGGTATCACTCGTCCGAGATCCCCTGGCTAGGTGGTTTATGAATTCCAGGCACGATTTGTCAAAATATAGATTCGTACCCAGCTATCTCACTATATTTTTCTTTGTCTTGCACTTGGCTATTCGACAAGTATGAAGAATAAGTGGTCGGTCCCTGAGTCTCTCAAAATCTTGAATGAAAACTCCTAAACTGGTGGGCTTGTTGCTTTGTCTACTTGTTAATTCATTTTCACATTCATAATTTTGTATGTTAGTCTTACGATTCTCTATATCTATCAGATACCAGTCTCCCAAACTTGTTCGTAATAAATTGACAACGTATTTCATCGACCTAGTGTCCTTCTGGTCAAACAACTGAGAAGTCGTTAAGCCGAAACAAGTCTCACTTCTGAAGGAAGTGACCTGCAGAGATTGCTCATACCGACTTTCTGATGAAAAGTGATATAAACGATTGCCAAAGTCCAAATGAATTGCTCCATGACACTTTGCCAGAAGAGAATCCAGCTAATGACGTGGTCACCTAAATGCCAGACATGATCAGCGAACTTCCCATGGGAACCTTTCCCGTGAAGTGTTCCTTTGATAATAACTACAACCGGTGCAATTCGTGCTAGTGACACCAATCCGTGGTGATTGATAACCTGATCTTCACAGCTGGGTGACTGGTAAAACAACGTAGAACCTCGCAAACAGTAGTAGTACACAGATCAGGTGGATAGAAAAAGCGGTACTAAAGTAGTGTGCGAGAATAAACAATCTGAAGATAAAGGTTAGTCCAAATATTCAAGCTTTAGGTGTCAAGGGATGGGTAGGTCTGCGTCATCATGACCGATTTTCAGCCATGTCACGAATAGTCCTCAACCATTGTTTTCTTTCGTCTCCGGTAGCGCAACTAGACAGTCTACATCGTCTCATAACTCAGACCAACAGTAGGAGACTTCATCGACTGGTACCACGTCTTGGTCTGGCGAACCTGAACCTTATACCAACCTAATTTAACTGACCTTAGTATGGGACTTCAAGATAGGTGGCGGTGTCTTGGTATGCTCACTACATGTCCAAGCCATCTCAGTCTATGAAGGTATACAACCTCACCAATCGACTTTTTCTTCTAACCTCATCGTTGCCCACACGGTGACTCCATCTAACGCGAGCAATACTACGAAGACATCTGTTATCAAAACCCTGTAACCGTTTCATATCTTCTCACAGCCGTGTAACAGGACAAAATGGCCTACAGTGCAGTATACTCGTCCTTTGATAAATAGTCGGATATCTAGCCAGTCGGTGCCAAAAATGACCCAAGTTGGCGAATGCTAAAAGGGCTTCATGCCTCCGAGCTGAAGTTTCGTCAACGACCAACTCATTCGGGCTGATGCAACTCTCCAAGTAAGGGAAGTGAATAATGTAGCCGACCACTTCACCCCTTATCATTTGACTGTGAGTAGTTGCAGACCAATACTGAAGCATCACTTTACATTTGACAGGTGCACAACAGCTAAACATATTCGGATTTCTGCCCAGCCCGTTCAGAAGACTCTGTATTTCGTTAGCGTCTTCATCTAACAGGACAATATCGTCTGCAAACTCTAAGTCAACCAGATGACCTATAGGGACAAGGTCAATCCCCGTGAAGTCAGACTTACCTTAGGTTATGTCTGTTAGTATGTCTATGACGAAGTTGAACAGGAACGAGAGGCATCCTTAGCGGATACCACTAGTTTTCATTAATTATAATAATTCTCACTAAGCCTAGACACAGCTGCGTGAGTTCAAGTAGAGAGCTTTGGTTAACGTTATATACTTTCTCAGTCAAACGCTCCCACAACACTTCACGGTCGACTGCGTCAAATGCTGCTTCCAGGTCAAGAAATATGGCAAGTGTCGGCCGCCGGTAGTTATGCCTGTGTTCCAGAACCTGTCAAAGGTCGAAGATATAGTCGATGCACCCTTGCTCACGTCTTAAACCTGGATTGTTTTTTCGAGTTTGCTGTTCTCGAGCTCCAGTTAGGCATAGGATAACTAAGGATCCTGAACACAATATTGGTCAAACTAATCCGCCTATAGTTTTCACAAGAGGATTCCTCTCCCTTTTTATAGGCTGGGGGATGATCGGTGAAGTACACTACTCTGACAGCAATACTGCTGATTCCCATACACTACCTAGTACCTCTGTCACTTTAAATAGCAATTTCCTACCCTCATGCTTGAAAACCTCAGGTGGGAAAATGTCAGGTCCTGCTGCTTTGCATCGTTCCACGTTCGATACAGCCTTCTCAACTTCAAGGAAATCTGGAGGACCGACATCTACGTGGTATTCAGGTTCAGGTTAGACGTTGGGCAGCTGAAACGTTTCTGAGGGCTAGTTCAGCTGTACTTCAAAGTGTTCTCCCCAACTTTCAAAGCGCTTGTTCTAGGAGGTCATCAGCGCCCCATCCCCTGTGGTGATGGTTTTACTCACCGTCGTCTTTTCGCCGGTATCTTTGGGTGTTACTCGCGCTGATACCCTCTCTCCATCTCTGACTTTCCCCACGTATCACTGCTGGCGATCATTGCGAAGACTCTTGGTCAACTTACGTTTAAGTTGTTGACATACCATTAGGGATATCTGCATCAACGAAAGACCTGCACATCTGGATCCTAAAATGACAGAGCTCTAAAACTCTGTTAACCTGAAAGTTTGATATTTCTTCGACTCTGGAGTTGATCACGTCATCCTTTTAGCAACCATGAATGGCCATCGCGATCATCTTTCCTTTATTCTACAAGCAGTTAAATGGAAAACCATTTGCGGCCTATGGGGAAAGACATGGAAATATCAGCTATAGTAAACCTTTCAATTGGATTACCTTCAAGCTGGTTTCCGAATGGTCACAGCTGACGTCGATCTCCTTACCGATTACAGCATACTGGTAAATGCCAGTCAATGACCACCGATAAGTAGTTATCTGTTGGTGTAAAAACCCAAGTAGGACTGAGTTTAGCGTCGGTTAGAAGGAAACACTGTATATAACCATCGTAGAAACAGATCCAGATTTGAGACGAAACATATTAGTTAGCTTTGCATAACCAGCGATGGTAACCATTGCTTAGAAGTCTTGTTATCTTCATCACATTGGCAAACTAGCTTGCATTAGCAGAAATTATGTTTTTCAATCCCAGATCATATCCACAAGAAATAATATCTTGAATTACCACTAAGTAGGATTATTTTGTCTTCGTAACTGTAGGTGATTAAAGAATTTCTGAAGAAATTTGACTCTTTATGAAGTTAAATGAAGCTTTACAAAAAAAATCAAGATGTGATCCCACTAATGACTCTACCTTGTTTAAACTTGATTGGAATACACTAATCCAAAGTTGCTTTTCCTTTTACATACTGTTTCAGGCTTGTTGATACGCTTGTTCGCATTGGTAAACACATAGGTTGTTATAAAATCTCACTTGACTGCAATGATCAAAACATAGGATTTTACGAAAAGTGGGCTTTCATCGTGAAAATCATATTATGTTTATGCGATTCAATGAGGATTGAAGTTGCAATTTTATTGAAGGAAAAATTCTGTCTAAATGAAATCATGGACCGAAAACCAACAAAACAAACTGTGCAATTCAAGGAACTCCCAGATATTTTATATGGAAACAAACAAACCAATAAATGTATTCTGATAGAAAATCTCTTTCTTTTCTTCTTATTTCCCACCAACGGAAACATAACATTTGGAAAGTTTCATTGTTTTACACTTAAAAAAATTAAAACGTGAAAACAGCCGTTGCATATTGTTTGCAGGTTTTTTGTTATGACGTGTACACTGAGTGAAGAGAATAAATAAACCTTCAAAGTTTCGCTAAGAAACAGTTCGGAAAGAAAACACCAACCAACACAGAAACAAAACTATAAGCCAACTAAAACGGCTCGAAACAACTTATTAACTGTGACAGTGTTTGCTTTACCGGGTAAAAGACAGTATCTCCTTGAAATGACTTCGGTTATGCTGAAAGACGTTTAATTAATGTGTACAATGTCGGTTTGTTCAACATCGTTCCAGTGCTGCAGTCCACGAATTAAAAGGTGTAAGTACACTGTAACCATTTAAACGTGATAATTGATCACGATGTACTTGACTCGATTGAGCCAACTTGCCAACCAGAATTGCTGCGTTGCGTTTAGTGTCTAGTCGTCGACTTTCCTAAAACACGGATATAAAAATAGGAAATCTACTATTTGAGGTCTACGTTTAAAATTCCCAGCAAACACTTGCTTCATATAGTATAAAAGAATATAATTATCGTTGGTAATTATGTACTCATCCTTTAATACCTATAAAGTACACTTCTGACAAGCTGCAAAAATGCATCATTGTGAGTGGGGCTGTAGTTTAGAACAGACTACAGAAAGATAACCATCTATGGAGACTATAAGGAACAGGCAAGACTAGATGTTCAATTCAAACCTCCAATTAGTAGGTCACATATTCACAGACACTATCCTCAAACATTGATCTGACTAAACTACAGTTGCTTCGGTGTTTTCCTTACCCCAATCATGAGAATAAACGAATTTATTCTCAAGCTGTGGATTCAGAATCTTCTTTGCTGAATATCTTGTTTTTGATTACAGGACATCAACCAATACGGACTGTGTACTTTCTTGTCAAAACCATGATGCCAGTATCGAGAGAACATCTCTCCTCGAGGTGGTCGAATCAAAACAGTACCAATTCATTCATTGTTTGACTTATGTAACTGTAGACTTTTCGATGGAATATGTTGGCTGGTGAAAAATAAGAGAAAAAAGCCTTTAACATATGCTATGATCTAAATATTCACCCGTGCTATCTAGTTTCATCTTCATTATCACCAATACGCTTATCCTTTATCACTCGATTTTTCTAATGTACTGTGCTGAAGCAGGAGAACTTTAGCTGCTAACTTGTCGAGTTTTTATGCAATAGAATCAATTTTATAGCTGTACAGACAAGAACTGAACCAATGACTAGAATTATTATAGTCCGTGAAAGATATCAGATAGCTTCTCGAGTGCGAACTACCCTATTGCCAAAGTTAAAACAATATATGTAAGGAATTTCAAAAGCATATCAAGTGCAAAATAATTACTTTGTTGTTGTCTTTCTGTTTGTAAAAGTACGTCGAATAAAATTATTGCACAAGTGCGCGCCACAAAAGAATTATCACAACTTTCTACTTAATAATAAGTGAATTCGAAAAGAAACTTGGTTTGAATTCAGACTCGAAGTGACTGGTAGTGGTAGTAGGGGTAATAATGATAATCTTAGAAATCAATGAATACACAAGAGTTTGTGTATTAGACAACAGGTCACACCTTATCTTGCGAGTTAGCTGACAGTACTGCATAAGTTTCGAAACCCCTGTAAATGGACGGTGATTCCTACCCGTGAAACTAAATGAAAGTTGAATGCCCTGTCCAGTGAACCACTACCCTAAGTCCAACCACGGTTGATTTGAATAAATGATGCTGAGAAGAGTGACGACCTATATTATTTATTGACAATAAAGTTTGTACGAAACGAGAAACAAGCTACGCTGGTGTTTATTTACTACTTTATGGTTCTTATTAATTTTGTGGAGGATTATCATTTTACTCGGTTGAACAAGATTTGAAACTGAGACGCAGTGCGATTGAGAGTGAAGTAGAACCTCAGACAAGGAACCAAATCGACATCCGAAGAAAACACAAAACCAACGTAGAACCTCTGAGAGAAGCGATTCCCTTCAAGTTGGCATGCTTCACAACAACTGCATTGAAGAACAAATGGGCAAAGGGAGAAATATTGAAGTAGAAAAACGTGTATGGGAGGAAAAGGAAATTGAACATAATGGTCAGCAAAAGTGCTCCAACTTTCGAAAATGCCAAAAAATGAATACATCTGCGCCATTGTAACTTATTTTTAGGCACGGCAAAAGGGTTCCGAAGTATTAATTCCTTTGTCTCGAGGACCACAACCAAGCAGTCTACTCGACTCAGACCTACAGTCAGAGACTTGATATAGTGATACAGCGTCTTGGTCTGGCCGCACTGAATCTTCCTTCTTCCAACTCAATTGCACGTCGAGGAAGACGGTGGTTCGGTATCCAAAACACATAGCCAAGCTACATTAGTCAGTGAAGTTTCACCATTTCATCGACTGACCTGTCCAGTGTAGGCGCTCGTTGTCTAACCTCGATATTGCTCATATGGCTTTTCCAGCATACGGCAGGAATGCTACGAAAAAGCCTGTGTTCGAAAAAACATGTAATCTTTTCACATACTTCAACGTCCATGTCTCGCGTCATCATCAATATCAGCATAAGACCAGGCATTACACTGGGTAACCATCCAAGTTGTTAAACCTGACATCAGAATATCAAGTAACAAAGCAATACGATGAAAGATGAGGAAAAGAAGAAAAAACCGATCGAAAGTACTAAACGAGAGGAAGGAAGAAATGCTGAATTCAGTACAGTGTATAGGATGAAGATGTTGTCTGAATGCATCTGCACTACTGATACACCCATTCTAAACCATATCACCACGACACAACCTATGATACGGAGGAAACGGTTGTCAAACAACAAAAGCCTTCTCACATCTACCTTCAATGACCATGTTTCACAGACATACATTAGAACATAAGGAACTGCAGCACAGTACACTCGACCCTAAGTCGATAGTCGGACATCGCAGCGGTGCCACAGATAGCCTAAGTTGGAGAAAGCCAATCGAGCCTTTTGTATGTGTGCAGAGATTTCGTTGGTCACTGACCCACCAGGACTGATCCCACTTCCCAGATAAGTGAAGTGGCCAACGACCTTAACCATTTCACTGCCTATCGTTAAACTGGGCACCGCTAAAGACCAGTCGTTGAGCAACAATTTGCATTTCGGCGGTGAGAAACGCATCCTAAACACCCACAAATTGCCACTGAAGATGTCTAGAGGACTGCATCTTGTCAGTGACTTCACCTAGCAGGACTATGTCATCTGTGTATTCTAGGTCTACCAAGGATTTTTCTGCGATTAGATCAATCCCTGAGAAGTCAGATGACAAGAAGAAGAACGTCTATGATAAAATTGCATAGGAATGGAGAGAGTCGACATCCTTGATGGATGCCATTTGATGTACTCAGCTCACATGACAATTCACTGTAGGCTCTAACACTCTTACAGGTATTCGTGTAAAGAGCCTTTAATAGAGACATTTATGTGACTGAAAATCAGTCAAAATGGCGCAGATGTATTCTCTCTTTAATGCCTTACAAGGCTTGAATATTGTGGGTACAGATAAAAGAAATGAGTGGCTTTGCACGAACAAGTTTGTGGAAATCCACTATCGTTTGCTGACCTTCAGGGGTAGTTCACCAACTGTCTTTAACACTGTTTCTACGGCAGACTGAATATTATATCATGCTTCAACAGAATGGGAATTACTGTCCCGTTCAGAGAGATGCTTACCCATTTCCTCTCAATAATACACACACGTTAGCATCTTCAGGTCTACAACAGATATACTTCATTACCGGGTATTACGCACTACCAGTACGATGCAAACATACACGTACCCGTATTAACACGTGATTGGTATCCAATTAGATACGCCAGATACAGTGGTAACCCTCCACCGACTGCTAATAGCAATATAATATATCCGCGTCCATCATTGGTTGGATGTTGGCGGACACTACATGTCTCCCCCTTCTCGTTTAAGTTGATGCAGGCTAGAAACAAGTGACTACCAGAACAAAACTTCAAGAAACAATCACCCTCGTCAATACCATCTGATGTGATACCGCAGACACCTGTCAGGTAGATGACTTTCCCATTAGCACAACCTCCCTCCCTACCTGGGTGTTGAAGTAGGTGTTCAGACGGTTGCTATTATGAGTACACCTGAACATTTCACTTTATGTAACGAAATTGACAGCTTTTGGTAGAACTCACTCTACGTATCATTCGAACTACAATGAATGGAAGTGCCGATGGAGACTACGAATAAGCACCTACTAGTGTTCTTACAGATCCATTCAACTGAACATCACACAGGTAGGTGGATTTCGACTGGAATGCAGTCGAGAGGTGCGCTTCCTGTTCTACAATGTGAAGCCATATCTACACCAGCCAGTCAACAACAGCTAACCATTGCAGTTACCGTCGGACACTCGGAAGACGAATTTCGCAGATTCACCACATTGGTCGGTCGGTCGGTCAGGTTAGGTTAGGTTGGGTTAGGTTAGGTTAGTCAAGTGAATGAATAAGCCGCCTACTGAACTTCTGTATTCACGTGTATCCGAAATGCAGCACAATACATCCATAGATGAAGATTACAGAGTTTTGGCAAGAGATGCTTGCTGTCCGATTGCGAATAGAGTTCGTACGTGGAAGACTTCAATGTGAAATCGGCAGTGGGGTTTTAGGAGACTAGAAATGGTGTTTCGCTGACCTGAATTGCTAGCAATAATCGCACAGTGAGAGGTGAATGAAGTTGTAAGAGGTTTAATATTGGTGTCAGAAAGTGGAGGGTGAGGAAAGAGAAAAAGCGTTAGGAGGGTAGGTTATGACTGGTTGAATAACCGTGTGAACAAGACGAAAAAGCCTATTGGCAAAGTTGCGAACCTCCATCGACTGAGATGGCTACCTCGATGTGCCATACTAGGGTCAGTTGGATTAGGTTGGGAAACGGTTCACATTGGCTAAATTAAGAACTAACACCAGTTGATGGTCCCTAACTGTTGGTCTGAACCGTGTGGGGAGATGTAGACCACCTAGCTTGGGCCCCTATGACGATAAGAATCAGTGGTTGAATACTCTTGATGACATGGCTGAAAACCGGTCACAATGGCACAGATGTATTCACTCCTTAACGTCCTCTCAAGCTTGAATATTTGCACTAACTGTTATCTTCAAATTGTTCATTCTCTCACATAACTTTGATATCACTCTTTTTCTATCCACTTGCTCTTTGTATATTACTGTGGAATGTGGAAACTTGGACTGATGGACTTGTGTGCGAGGTCCTAACGTTGATTTCGTCTATCTATAGGCAATGTTTGATGATTGGGTTTTATATACTGACGGAAGTGTGTGGTCAGTTGGTACTTCTCGACTGTTCGAATCACGGAAGTCGTTTCCAGAAGGCACGTGAGTCAGAAAAAGGAGTAGTGACCACAGAGCCCAACGGACATCTGCTTGAAGTGTGTCACACACAGCGTTGTGAGAATTTTTGGACGGAGATTTCATTGTGCTAGCATTGGCTACGGTGAGCCTAAGCCACAGGCATAGACAAACCATAGGGTAGAAAGTGTGCTATCTTCATGGACAACCTTTTGGAACCCCCACTTTCATAGAGAAATCAATACCAGCTGGACTGTTAGTTATCCATCGGAAAAACCTTACTGGGGTCATACTCCCCTCGAGCCAGAAGAACAACTCCAATTTCGGAATCCCATAACAGTGCAGCAATTTGCGCGAAAACGGCGACACAACAGGCCTTTTTAGTACGACGGGATCACAAGGTAAAGCGTTCCAGCCAGCGTAACTCACTGGGTCACTTCGATATACAAGCTCAACCACCAAGTCAAAGAACCAGGTATCAGTCAAGCAACGGTCAAAGCAGATGATTAAGTAACGAAAACTTTATCACCTCGGAAAATGAACTTCTTAGTTGGTTATGCGTATACCTAGCATGAAAGAATAGTAAATATTGCTAACTGAAATATAATTAACCATTTTGTAAGATGCATCAGTTGAGTACACATGCATTACAGTGCATGTCGATGTTTGTACCAAACATAATCACGTATTCAGTTGGTGCTTTGAGGGGAGTGATTGGCTTCACGATACTTTTCATCACGGAATGACCACTGAGAAACTTGGGGGCATCCTCCAGATATGGGAATCACGAGTGCTGCACACCCAAGACTGTCAGATCTTAAATGTGAGCGAGTTACTATTCAATCAATGGTCTGGAATCCAATGATTCATATTCTCCAACTTCTGTCATTTCGTGATATAGCCTAGTCATCACCAAATGGCATTCGGGAGTGTTTATCTTCACAACCGATTTCGTTTCAGGTTAGTCTACTAGCGGAGTCATGTATCCCGACTGAATTTACGTATACTTGTTAATATTTCACTTACAATCCGAAACACTGGATAGTAATTTCTCATACAAGAATTATGAGCATGCAGTCCCCCACTTTTAGACTGAACCGAGTACAGGGAGATGCAGACTGTCTGTCTCGAATCTGTGAGATGTCAGGAATAAACAGTTGGAGACTTTTGCTAATACGGCTTGAAAACAACCACTATGGTGTTCAAAGTTTTGAACCCTTTTGAAAGTGACCAAGTAACTACTTAGTCAAAACTTTGAACACCATAGAGATTGTTTTCAAGCCGTATTAGCAAAAGTCTCCAACTGTTAATTCCTGACATCGCACAGATTCGAGACAGACAGTCTGCATCTCCCTGTACTCGGTTCAGTCTAAAAGTGGGGGGCTGCATGTTCATAATCCTTGCATGAGAAATTTTTTTAATATTTTAATATGGATAAATCGTTAATTGCTATATATATAAAAAATATATTACAACATTGTAAAAACTATTAGTACTACTGGATTTTTGAGATGAATGGGGATTTTCAATTTAGAAGTAGTATTCATCATGGACTGACATCAGTTGGGGAACCATTGAAAATCTGGGAGCACTCGACAGCTGTTTCGTCCTAGTATGGGACTCCTCAGCAGTACACACCCACGACCCGGCTAGAGATCGGACTCAGGACCTTCAGGTTTCACGGCGAACGCGTTAACCATCCAGCCACTGGGTCGGTATCCAGTGGTTCACAATTTCCAACTTCTGGGTGCGTACCGCTGAGGAGTCCCATACTAGGACGAAACAGCTGTCGAATGCTCCCAGATTTTCAATGGTTCCCCAATTGATATCAGTCCATGATGAGTACTACTTCTACATTAGTACTACTATTACTATTATTATGAATCACTAGATAAACTGACCTGTATTAGTGATAGTAAGTCATAAATGATTGACGTGCCTTGAAGGTGTTCAGCTAATGGTGTATCAGCAGCACAATGCTGTAAAATTAAGCAAACATTTCCTGCTAAAGGTTCGTCTCTTGGTGGTGGAGGTGGACAGATATTAGATTTCGGCCTAGACTGCGGTATAAATCCAGGTGATCTTACACGTATTAAACGTGCCAAACGTCTAACGCGACGTCGATCATCGCCAATAATATAGCGTAGGTAAACAGAATGACTTGTACCAGCTGCTAAGCAACGTATACAACCACTAATCAGATGTGATGACAAACTATTTGTTTCTTTTGACTCATCTGTTTGTTGATCATCCGTTGACCCCTTTCGAAGATTATTTCTAGAACGTGAATCTGGTGAGCTACAACAAAAAAGATAATTATTAAATGGGCACTTGGGCAAGTGGTAAGTAAAAAATTAAATGTGCACAAACTGCGTACAGTATATTATGGTGATTTACAAGATTACCTAGGTTGCTGAACCTATATATAATTTAAAATGACTAGTTGGTTTATGAATATAGCTAAAGAAAAGTTCATAGATAGTATGATGAATCTTCTGGATGTTAGAAGTAATCAGCATGCAGTCTAAGATTTAGATTTTGTGCTTGTCAGTGCTCATCATCAACAAGGTGATATTTATACCACAAAAGGGAGTAATATTGATCAAATAGTTTATATTTACTCATTTATTTCTTTGATGATGGCTAACACTGAAATAAAAGACACTTTTTTCATCAGTCGGATGTGCTTACATACCAGTGAGTGAAAGTATATCCCTACTAACAAACTCTTTAAATAGCCATCCACTATATCCAATGCTAGTGTTGTTCAACAAGTTAATGAGGCATCAATTGTTATTTCTGTATGCTGTTTATTGATCAGTCTCTCTTGGTGCATTGACTTCATGTATAGATACACCTTAATAACAGCATGCATATTTAGCCAAAAAGTTTGAATCGAGTGGTGAAATGTACAATTACAGGTAGTTGAAGTCGTCATAATAACTAAAATCAATGCCTGGACACTAGATAATTTGACTCAGAATAGATCTCAGTGATGCTATTCAACAACTTTTCATTGCTAAATATACAAAGATGTCTTTAACATAAGCTACATATAGATATATACTAGACAGAGAGAGAGAGACAGACGGAGAGAGAGAGAGCAGTTTTAGACACAGAGGTACCATATGCTAAAATACTGCATTACGGAAAATTAGCAACCAAAAACATATGCTCAGCTTACCAACTATCCAAAACAGCAAGAAGTAAACGAGTTCGTGAAGGCAAGTCACTCATAGGTAAATGAACATTTGCTGTAGCAGTATGTTCACCGAACCAACACGAAAGCTAAAAAACACACATCAAAAAACAATAAAGTAAGGGAAATTGTATCTCACTTGTTCGACTATATCTACATATATCCATATATATATATATATATATATATATATATATATATATATATATATATATATATATATATATATATATATATATATATATATATATCAGGCTTTCATTAACCCGAAATCAGTATGCAGATCTCCTCCACTTCACCCCACTCCACTCCACTCAGCATAAAGCATGAACAACATCCAGATTTTCAACACTAATTCAGTCAAGTCAGTGCTTCTAGGTGATGGTTCAGAAACTTGGAGCGTCATGAAAAGCATTACCAACAAACTACAAACATTCATCAACAGCTGCCACCTACGCTCACTCGAAAATGAAGATCAGATGGTCAGAATAATAAGAATAAGCAACAAGGAACTGTGGCCGGGCAACCAACCAACCAAGAACCTATCACCCAACAAATATGCAGAAGAAAGTGGAGATGGATTGGGCATACACTGAGAAGGCCGACTGGCGAAATCACACACCAGGCAAGACCCTCAAGTGGAATCCATAGGGAAGACGACGAGTTGGGTGTCCCAGATGAGGGTGAGAGGAAGAAATGAAAGCTTCTGGGGAGTTGTGGAGCGAGGTTCTAAAGACTGCAGAGAATAGAGTGGAGTGGCAACGTGTTACTGTGAAGCCCAATGTTCCACTTGGAACCCAAGGTACAAATAATAATATATGTATATATATCGCTCTGAAAGTGTTGAGATGAAGTAGAGAAGTTACCCAACAGCGATATAGAAAATGGATAAATCTGATCTTTTCATTTATCCAGGTAATATGTGGTGAACTCATGCAATCACAGATAGTGAAAAGATTTTGAAACTCCTAAATTCACTCATAATAATTGTAATTTAGGATATTTTATTTTCAATTGTGCATTTCTATAAAATTCACTTTTGAATATATATGTACATTTCATTAAAGGAAATCATTTTAAACATTTGTTGTTTAAATGACATACTCTATACAGGAAATTTCGAAGTTTTTAAGTGTGAACAGTATAAAATCTAGCATCAAATGCATATCAGTTTAAGTTGTCATAGCATATTAAAATGAAAATGATAAATGTGAAAGGTATGATCATAATGTAGTGGATTATCATCATCTGACGGGATATCATCATATTTCCAGGAAGGCACCTGGTTGACCAGAAGTGTGGAAAACGACGTTATTCTGTTAGGCGAAGAAGATGAAAAAATAAAACAGGGTCGTCAGAATTCCTTGAGCAGAAATCTGAGTTTGTTTGACTAGCATGCACCTCGCATCTTACGAATGTAAGGTGATGCTTCAGGACTGGTCTCAAGCTACTTTTAGTTTAAGGATAGAAAGTGCAGTGGTCGGATGCGTTGACCACCCAGAACAGGCAGTTTACTGATGACATCTGAGCTCAAATATACAGGACCCATTTGACACCTATCAAATGGCTTCACCTGCCATGCTGACTACCTGTTAAAGGACGATTGTACTGCATTCAAGCTCTCTACTTTACTACAAGTTTGTGAGATGTAGCCGTTGAAAGTGAAACATGCAAAGTAATCACAATATTTGGAAAACGAGTGTCTTCGCAGCATCGGTTGTGTTCGTGGAATCACCGTGTTAGCAATGTTAGGCGAAGGGTACCAACCAAGACAGACAAGTTAGTCGATGAAGTTGTGAATGTTCAGCGACTGAGGTGGTACGGACATGGGTTGAGTGTGCCGTCCCACCACCCACCTTGACCTGCAATGTTGGAAAAAGAAGGATTTGGTTGGAAGAAGGTTCATAGTGGCCAGACCACGACGTGACATCAGTTATTGAAGTCTCTAAATATTGGTCTGAGCTGTTTAGGTGTAGACTATCCGAAACCACAGGAATCAATATGTTGGTGAAAATGCTGAAAACGGATCAGAATAACACAGATTTGTTCCCTCTTTGACATCTTCTAAAGTCCGAATATTTTCTCTAATTTCTATCTTAAAACTGTTTCTCCTCCCAAACACCTTTGTATACTTTGATATAACTTTTCCTCTACTCACTTGATCTTTGCATGTTACTGGAAAGGGTGACATCCTGAACAGATGCACTTCCGTGTGAGATTCTACGTTGATTTTACTTGTCTATCCGTCTGGGCGACCGAGCCATATGCTAGGCAAGGAGAAACATCGTTGACATCCAAGGGCAATATGTGTTACCTGGTGTCGATATGCATGAATTCTCTTACTGTCGATTAGAGTCAGGCTTGTAGTAGCTTATCCATATAGGACCATGTCATGAAATTAAGAAACAAGTAGATAATTTTATGTGACAGTAAACGACAAACTGCACCTCAAATGTTACTTAAAAGTAATGTCTAACTGTATCACATAAACAGACTGATATTCACTATTCGACTTGTCAAGTTTTCGAGAACTTGCAACAAGCATGTATCCTGGAAATTTGCTTTATAGTTGATTTTCGCATGTATACAGTATCCAATCTCGGACAACAAAAACCCGAGAAAGAGGAGGAAAAGCGACATCTCTGTAACTCAAGCTATAAGAATCTACATCTTTTAATCAGAATATATGCAAACATCAGCAACATAAAAAGCACTGAATAAAGATTAAAAAGTTACAATCATTATTAAGCTTCCACTGACCTGTTCAGTATCATGACATAATGGTAGCAGTCGTCCAGCCAGAGCGATGACCACAGCTCTCAACTCTGGACCATGACCAATTTGATCCAAGATAGCACCAATTCCATTCAATATGGAATTAATTAATTTGCTTGAAGTTAAACAGAATGCTGAACAGTCTTCAGTTAGATTATCTGTCATTCCTAGGCTACCATTGATGTTTTTATTATCCACTGATTGGTTCAATTGTCCCACATATATATTATGCAACAGTCGACAGATTGAACCAATCAAGTAGGCATGACTAAAATTATGCATAAAATAAAACAAGTGAATAACTAAATTCTGATATCAGTTTAAATAAATTAGGCGAACATTATTTTTTAATTCACCATAACAACCTTGAAGGTACACAACCTGCGCATGAAGCTACGAAACACATGGTGTTTGACGCCTACTCAAAGTCAGTTTGTTTCCATCGAAAATTGATGTAAGTTGAACAATTCATGAAAAATGAAGATCACCTGACAATCATTCCATTTCTCATAGAACAGAGCATAGAATGGCAAGTCAACTAGATCTTCACCTCAACTTCATTGACTTTGAAAAGTCCTTCGACAGCGTCGACCGAGAGGTAATTTGAAAACTGCTTCAACAATACGGTTTTAGTGCCCCCAACCTTCATCAACCTCATTCAACAGGTATATGAGGATCCTGCATGGGAAGTGATTCACAATGGAAAGAACCAAGTAACGCCTTTGAAATGAAGACAAGATTGCCGACTATCACCGATGATCTTCCGAATTGTAGTCGACTGCATTGGGTAGCAAACTACAAGGAGGGAGAAGAGAAGCATACGCTGATTGACTGGTGAAAAGACCGCCTAAAGATATGAATTTCGCCGCCGATGATGATTTTGTCTAGCGTCGCTCAAACTTGAAGATCTACAGGCAGAAACCAACAAGTTGGCAGAAGAGGCAGTGAAGACGGCACTTCAAGTGAATGTAGAGAAGACGGAGGTGATGAAGATACCCAACCAACAACAACAACAACAAGAAGCACCAATCACCGTGAACGGGAGGAATCTAAAGGAAGTTGTCTCTTTCACCTACCTGCCCAGGCAGCATCGTTTCAACTACAGGCGGCGACACAGACGAGGATGTCAAAGCAGTCAGGATCGGAAAGACAACAAGACAGGCCTTCATTAACCTGGAATCAGTGTGGAGATCTACTTCACTCCACTCCACTCCACTCAGCATAAAGCATGAACAACATCCAGATTTTCAACACTAATTCAGTCAAGTCAGTGCTTCTAGGTGATGGTTCAGAAACTTGGAGCGTCATGAAAAGCATTACCAACAAACTACAAACATTCATCAACAGCTGCCACCTACGCTCACTCGAAAATGAAGATCAGATGGTCAGAATAATAAGAATAAGCAACAAGGAACTGTGGCCGGGCAACCAACCAACCAAGAACCTATCACCCAACAAATATGCAGAAGAAAGTGGAGATGGATTGGGCATACACTGAGAAGGCCGACTGGCGAAATCACACACCAGGCAAGACCCTCAAGTGGAATCCATAGGGAAGACGACGAGTTGGGTGTCCCAGATGAGGGTGAGAGGAAGAAATGAAAGCTTCTGGGGAGTTGTGGAGCGAGGTTCTAAAGACTGCAGAGAATAGAGTGGAGTGGCAACGTGTTACTGTGAAGCCCAATGTTCCACTTGGAACCCAAGGTACAAATAATAATAATATCATTTCTGTGTATTATTCTTCATACTAACTGAAAGTATTCATTGGTGACCTAGTTTGGGATGCGAATAACTCTCAGGAGAAGATGAAATAACTCTTCACCACTCCATGGCTACAATTACTATAATTAGTTGTATAATCAATTATATATTAAATAAGTTAATTTAGTATGAAGCACAATGACACATGAACTTTTTTATTGAAGGACGCTTCGAATCATGTCATCGAGTTACACGTAGAATTGCTCATGTTTGGTGCAAACCGCTGTGTGAGCAATGTGAAGGTTAGACTCAGGATGCCAGACAAGAGAGGCAGGTCAGTCGATGTTGTGAACCTTCTTCAAACCAGTTGGTTTGGAGACATGTTGCGCACTCCGAGTCACCAACTTCCTCGACATGCAATGTTAGCTGAAGAAGAATTAAGCTGGAAGAAGTCTAAGGAGGGTCAGAGCAAGACATGAAGTCTGTAACTGTTGATTTGAATCGTTCAGGGAGATTTAGACTATCTGGCTATCGTTCTCGAGACTACAAGAATCAATGTTTAGCGGCCATTGGTGGTATGACTGAAAATTGATAGCAATGTTGAACACTTTTATAAACTTAAAATAAGGCATTTCTGTGTCAGTTTCCACGTTAATTTGTCTGTCTGTCTTCTAGTAAATTATACTGTTTCACTATGACTTGTATCAAATAAACTTATTCAGTACGGAATTATGCTTCACTACTGTGTTTAAATTCCACTCTCATATTAATTCAACAGAAAATATTTTAATGTACCAATAATCGTTGAATGTTCATCAGAAGAGAAGAATTTTGTATTTTTCAGAATTCATCACATAAGAAATATGTGCTTCTTAGGAAACTCATATTTACATAACCCTTACACAAGCTTAAGTTGATATTCGTTTTGTAACTGACCCCTTAGCGCAGCAGAATAAGTACTGATGCTTAATGCAGAGTAATCAATACTATGCTATCATTTGCTTAGGGTTAAAAGAACTTTGCAGTTCGATACCATAATGTTGAGTCAATTAGCCCATATACCATAGTACAAACTGAAAAAGAGGAATTTAATCAATATTAGCGACTAAATGACACAACGATATCAACTAGTCGTCAGTGATGTATTCTCAGAAGATTCACGTACTTAGCTACTGTTGTCTTCATAACACCATGTATCATGGAAATATTCATATATTTATTGCAGACGTCAGGGGTAGTGACTGATAAAGATGAAAAGTATACTGATCAGATTGTTGAACTTCAACTGAGGTGGCTATAGCCAGTGCTAAGCTCACTGACTCATCGTCTACTCTGACAGACAATGTGAACCGAAGTTTGATTCGGCTGACATATTACCAATGGGGAGGGTCAGATTACGAAGAGGCATTATTTCATGAAGTCCCTGAGTCGTGTAAGGGAAAATATAAAAGCACTCAGAAATCTTGTGCATTTTTGTGCAGTAGGCAATGAGCCACATCTAACTATTGTGCCACAGGTAGTAATTATGCTAGGTTGTCCAAACCTCATTGAATCACCACCCAGCATCATGACCATATTCCAAAATGGCGACAGGATATCGATTATTCGGCAGTGACCAACGAAAATTTCTTTATTTATCATAATTAATTCCTCCTTGGGTTCCAAGTGGAACATTGGGCTTCACAGTAACACGTTGCCACTCCACTCTATTCTCTGCAGTCTTTAGAACCTCGCTCCACAACTCCCCAGAAGCTTTCATTTCTTCCTCTCACCCTCATCTGGGACACCCAACTCGTCGTCTTCCCTATGGATTCCACTTGAGGGTCTTGCCTGGTGTGTGATTTCGCCAGTCGGCCTTCTCAGTGTATGCCCAATCCATCTCCACTTTCTTCTGCATATTTGTTGGGTGATAGGTTCTTGGTTGGTTGGTTGCCCGGCCACAGTTCCTTGTTGCTTATTCTTATTATTCTGACCATCTGATCTTCATTTTCGAGTGAGCGTAGGTGGCAGCTGTTGATGAATGTTTGTAGTTTGTTGGTAATGCTTTTCATGACGCTCCAAGTTTCTGAACCATCACCTAGAAGCACTGACTTGACTGAATTAGTGTTGAAAATCTGGATGTTGTTCATGCTTTATGCTGAGTGGAGTGGAGTGGAGTGAAGTAGATCTCCACACTGATTCCAGGTTAATGAAGGCCTGTCTTGTTGTCTTTCCGATCCTGACTGCTTTGACATCCTCGTCTGTGTCGCCGCCTGTAGTTGAAACGATGCTGCCTGGGCAGGTAGGTGAAAGAGACAACTTCCTTTAGATTCCTCCCGTTCACGGTGATTGGTGCTTCTTGTTGTTGTTGGTTGGGTATCTTCATCACCTCCGTCTTCTCTACATTCACTTGAAGTGCCGTCTTCACTGCCTCTTCTGCCAACTTGTTGGTTTCTGCCTGTAGATCTTCGAACCTCACTATCGTACACTCCTATCCTGTCTATCTCCAATCCTTTTCGTTGTAAAGTTTTACGATCTGTAGTATGACTTCAAGTCTTGGATTGTTTATACCTGTCTGTGCACCTTTTAAGTTGATGAATTTTTCAGGTTCAAATACATTTCACTGCCACAAAAATGGACACATCATTGATTTGTAGTTGATTTCTGATTTATTTTAATGACCTCTGATAGTCAACTTCATTTTGAGTGTTATTAATCATTATATGAATAATTTTGGTCACGTTTAACAACATCTAGGAATCAATACATACCAGACTATTACAGCAAGGAAGCTATAAGTTACAAATTTTAATTATGTAAACTAAACTCGTGTAATTTGCTTACACACAGACAACAAAAGCTTGCTGACTGGTTAGAGATTTCAAAACAACAAAGCTTTAGAAGTAAACAATCTAGTTTGTTTATTGTCAGTGGCTTAGAGTCAAATCAAAAGTCATTTCATCCAGCCAACTAGTGATCAACACCTGCATGGATTTATACGATTATCGCTCCGCTTACATTATTATTATTGTATCGACAAGAAAAAGTGGGAAATGTGTTTACTTATGACTTAGTTGGTAACATTATAGTATAACTCGGCCTCAATAGCTTTTGAATCAACTCCTCACTCATTTCTGTATGATTTATAGTTGCATATTGACTGATATCAGTTATTGTGTATAATCTTATTTTCTGTGCATGAAATTGGTTGCTTCAAATTTATAAATTATAATGCGTTGTGATCACATCATTAAGTTGTACAGATGACTCCGGGTGCTAAAAACAGATATGAGGAGGACATTAAGCGCTAGACGTTTTGTTCTATGGTACGAAGGGAAGCGGCTGAAAATTGCATGACCCATCGTGTTGGTGAACTGGGTATACAAGATGTCACAAGCATACACGAAATTAATGACGTGTAACGTTTGTGTTAGGATTGAATCGGTAGGATCACGTGATTCGGACAATTACGAATGACTTTAAAAACCACCCTAGCAACTGATGAGACAGTCAATTACATTTCTTTATCCTATGTAAAAGTCCTTACTCTGGCGAAATATCCTAGACTGATTGGTCTATTCAGCAATAGTTAGGGTGGCCTTTAAAGTCACTCGACAATTACTTACTAAACAAGTCATAACAATTATTGATTGACATGAGTGACTGAAGGATACACCAATTAAGGTGTTAACTCGCCAAAGACCTAATTTGATTCTACGTACCAACAGTTCGCTAGTCACAATTCAGGCGTATCAAACGAAACAGCTCTCTGAACTGAGTTAAGGTAGTAACATAGCAGATGAACTCGGCTCCTAAAAACAGAATCTGGTGCTAAAAGTATCTGGATGGAGTTAGCAAATAATGCTGACTAACGCTGAGTGGTATTCAGTTACTCATATCAGTAAGTGGTTTATGTTCTACAGACTTGTTACTCACCACCTTGATGATATTAATATTATTAAGCAAGTCATGTATTGCCATTTAAATCTTTTGGCTTCCAAGAAAAACTGTGGTGAAAATTCACGATTCGGCTTCTTCATTGAACTGTACCGTTCCTGCATCCGTATGTGTAATTTTAATGGATAGCGTGGCGTTCTCAGATTCCAACCACGTTTGTCATTTCAGGCAATTCTAAAGTTGATGAAATGCAACTGGAATTCTATCAAATCAGTCGTTACAGTTAGTCGCGAGGAAAAAAATTTTTATGATAACGATTTCAGCGATGATTAACCCGCCACAATTGTGTGTAAACACGGTTGCTCAATAACCCTTAAAAATTAGATAAAGTACCTTTTCGGCAAGTAAGATGATATACAAGAATAGAGATATACTGTATACAAAAAGTTGAAGTCACTTAAATAGAAGATCTTACTTGGGGTCATTCAACAATGGAGTATGACGTGGAAGACAGTCAGCTAGCCCAAATAATAGAGCTTTACGACTTTGAAGAATATTTTTTTGAAATGCAGTATCCTGACAAGCATTTCCTAGACTGTCTAACAAGGTAGCTAGACAGTGACATGTAGTTGAAGACGGTTGGTTGGTAGTAGTTGGTGAAGAAGAGGCTAAAGCAGACTCGATGATTAGCAACAGACCTTGCAACCCATCGGTAGAAGATCGAGCAAGTATCTGGAGCAGAAAAATTCCAGACGTTTCATTATTATTGTAAACAACTTAGGATAAAGTGTCAGATTTAAAACATTTATTAAACTTTTTATCTACGAAAACTAGAATAATACATTTTCAAAAACAAACAAATTCACAAAACAATTACATGGAATGATGATGACAGTTTTAGGCGAAAAACTTAAGTCAGTTGACTAAATCGCAAGCCTTTATCGAACGAGATGATTTGGACACAGGCTATGCGAGTAAAGTTACTGTCTATCCTGTCGCACAATGTTACCCAAAGTAGGTTTGCACTGGAAGAAGATTGAAGGCGGAGACTGAAGTAAAACATGACAAAACGTCTCCAGCTATTGCAGACTACAGGTGATATGACTCAAGATTCATCTCAGTGGCACAACCATTTTCCTCATCCTAACCCCAGAAATTAAACATTTCGCTATTTACTTTTATTATCTTCTCTGATAATGACTCTCAACAGTTTACTGTAACATTTTCCTCCCTACCTCTCTCTTGCTTTCGTGTATCTTCATGTGCTGATTAGAGGTTTGGTAACTTAGGCCGTCAAGCAGTAATGTAGGGTCCAAGGCTGATAGTGACTAATTGAATAATTCATGTGACCTTTTATTATGCAACTGATCGCATAAAAATGACACATCTTCCGCAATTTCTGATCAATATCAATATTAAACAAAAAATTATCACAACTTTGTTCATATATCAGGGTAAAAAATCTCTCTCCTTCTAGCAGTCGTCTGAATACACACATGAAAGACGAACAGAGGTGATAAGCAAGCAGTACCAACTATTTCAATGGTGATCCTAGTAATTACAACCAATTACAAAAGTTATATCGACGCTGTCACTCTAAACTAGCCTAACTGAGATAAATAAAAGTTCAACATTAGATCAACTTGGCACAGTTAGCATCCACAGAAAGAAGAGGAAAAAATTAACAGAAATTGAATGCTATTTAAACAACTAATACGGCTTTGAGAGTAAAATGTACAAACAACTTTATAATTCGATAATAAAAGAGTGAACGTATATAGGAAGAAAAATGATTGAGCGAAGAAACATATTCTTTGAAAATGGACGTATTTGTTTACCATTATCATCCATTTTGTAAGGAAATGCATACAAATGGACTAAAAATAATATGCGATTCACGGGTAATGCATAGTTTTGTCCATTATAGAATAGTGTAAGCAAACTGCGCTTAGGGTTGAACAATACGAACCATCATTATACTTCTATAATGATTAAACCGGAATCGGCGCTCAACTTCTTCAAGACAACTATGGTCTGAATGTTTATCATACGAACCATTGTTTAAGAGGTTCACGCTGACACAATCGTTAACGTTACAGTGTCTGCTTACTTCACCTCTCAAACACACACGCACACACACACAACTTCACATCAGAGTCAATACACCATTATGTACAGGATTGGCGAAAGAAAGAAATGTAACGAATAATACAAAGAAGAGTATGTTGGGCAGAGTTCCTCTGGCCCAATTCATGGTAGTTGATAATTATTGTTAAAAGTGCAAATCAATGCAGTAAAAGTTTACTGCAGTAGGTTGTACTTCTTGTATATAGGTTTCTGATACTAACCAACTGTAAAACCAAACAAGATGGAGCGAAATTCGACCCAAGGATCCATTTACTTGGAAGTGAGGCATCTAAGTCAAAAGTCCATATCTTAGTAAAGTGAGAATAACACCCCTAGGAGAATACGATGGATTCATTGCATTTTGTCGCCTTCATTGCAACTGCGTGCAAGGCAATAAAAAATTATGCGATATGTATATATACAGAGGAATATAATCTATATACCTTAGTTATTGAGAGGAAGACAGTCCATTGATGAAAGATAATGAAAGAAATGTGATAGAGATTAAAAAAAGTTCAAATGAAATACATTGTTTTGATTAAAATTGATTAAAGTTATCTAATGTTTATACAGACAGATTATCATTTTGCTGCATGTGACAAATCGGAAAATGGAATAGAAACGATTACTCAAGTGTATGTGTGATGATAAGCTAATTAATGTAAATGTAAGGTTGAAAACTGAACATCGGTTCTCATTCTTTTATCAGGCATGTTTATCATTTCATATCGATTGAAAGTCAAGACCCGAGAAATGCAAGTTTCTTCGCTGGACTATCGAGTTGAGTTATTTTCGTATGGAGTTTGTCTAATGAACAAAGTTGGCTAGTCCTAGAAAGTAGCTTTTTAATTAGTCCTTGTTTTATAACTCACAAGAAAGAAGTTATTAAAATGGAGAAGCTGTCCACTCCACGTTTCTTCTATGAAGACAAGCTTCTGACACAACTTATTTCTTCTTCGTTGAAGTCCAAAAGTTCATATCTTCATAGCTAATAAAGTAAAGTGAATAACGATATTCAGGGTCATACGGTCCAAAGTAAACGGCAGCAAGTCTTAGATCTAGGTTTCACGCTTTCTAGAACCAATTAGCAAGGTATATCTGCAAAGTCAGAGAAACTGATGCCTTCATATAGGTCTGAACTCACGTTACCCAGTGATGCGATAGGAGACGCTACGATTGAGCTATGGAGACCATGATTGACTTCCTGTAGGACTAAATGATACACATTAACTTGTCAGTGGAGAGTAACCAATTCTATATTGTCTAATTCTATGAGTTGATCGGATTCGATTGACCATTTCCTATTGTACACATCTCAACTCTTGAATTCATTCGCTTCTATAAGTGCTTAAAAAGTATCTGTGTTCGTCTGAATATTAGTTATAAGTAATGTCAAGTTACCGAGTCCTCATTTCTGTCCATTAAGTTTGAAGTGCAGTGTGTTGTCATGTTTCAAGTGATCTAAGTGAATAAAAGTATATTCAGATTTTATTATAACTTTTTATTGTGGATATTCTAGGTTTTAAGGAGCTGACAGAAACCGCCGAAATAATAAAATAGATCCATATTATTCTACTCCAATGTCTATTCTTTCGCTTTTATAGTATATAAGTGTATGAATGTTGCATTATATTGTGTTTGATGTTGATCGATCGAAGACAATCAACACGAATTTCTGGAGCAAACTGTTTGTTAAACGTTATCAACAATGCAATAGTACGACTTCGAGAAATCTTAAACTGATACATTCAAACTATGACTGATCTCCATGGGATTTGATAAAAGATACTAGATAAGTCATTGGAGATTAGTTAATCCTTTATCATTGGCAAGATGAGTTTTTTTGAGATTGGCATTGGATATAGTAAGAAAAATAAAGTTTTGGATTTACAGCTTCCAGATAACTAACCCCTTTCACCCACACAACAATACTACTTATCACAATTTATCTATTTCAAACAGTTAATTCAACATAAAGAAAGGATTTAGAAAGGAAATAACACGACTTTATTCCTCTGACACGCAGACTTAATAAAGTAGCAAAAGGTATGATAATCCACTAGATTAGGTCAATGAACCTTTTAAAAAAAGATAGATGTGGTTTGGCAGACTTATATTATTGATACTGGAAAACGATTTAAGGTAAAATGAAAATGTAGACCGCGAAAGGACTCGAGCCATCGACCTACCTACCGGTTACCAGGTTGGTGTTTTACCAACAAAGCTACAAGACCCAGTTGTTGATCAGATATTAATTTGAATTCAATCATCAAAATAGATATTTACTCATAAACAGGCAGAAAAAGTTGTGTTTCACTTGAGATTATCATACTTCGCATCAGCGTAACACAGAGGGAAATCAATACGATAAAAGACAAAGAAATTAGAACAATATTGATGTTGGTTAGAAAAAAATCTAGTAGACGAAAAATGTTCTATATTTGTCAACATGCCTCAGAAGGTGTTTAAGAAGTTTATATGAAAAATGAAACATCAAAAGGTACAGCAATAAAAGACAGGAAGAAGCGACATGTCTAAAAAAGGAAAGTTCACGATTTGAACACTAATGAGAAATGAATGACATTGATACATACCAAGATAAATATAAGGCAAAACCTGGAAAACTAATTGATTTCCACAATCCTTATGATATCAATCAGGAAACATAAATATAAGCACAATGAATAGTGTCATATAATCTTTGTTCAGTTAGTGATTACTTCTTCATCTTTATTCCTCTGCTGACAACTTGGATCTCCAAGATTATCCAGTGATTTCATATTAGTAAAAAGTCTGAGTAAGCTTAATTCATAGAGGTTGACAATATCATCAACTCAACAATCTCCTAACTAAAACCTTAGGCTTTAAAACCGCAACACTGATCATCATCAATATCAACATAGGACCAGGCATTACTGCATAACGGTCCGAGTTGCCACACCTCATATCAGTACATCAAATAAAAAGGCAGTCAAGTGAAAGATGAGGAAAAGAAAATCCAGTCAAAAGAAATATAAAGTACGAAAAGACAGAAAGGAAGAATGAGAAAATGGTATAGCGTCGTTAAGATAAGTATGGTGTGTGTATACATCTGCGCCACTGATACCGGTTCTCAGCCATATCACCTAGAGTCTCCAACCACTGGTTCCTCTTGTCCCGCCGACCTCGACCAGCTAGTCTGCATCGCTCCAAATGGCTCAAATCAACAGTCAAAGACTTCATACATTGATGCCATGTTTTAGTCTGGCCGCCTTGAGCCTTTTTCCAGCCTGAACCTACTTCGGCCAGCGTCGTGTGACGAGGCAGACGATGACTAGGCATACGTAACATGTGTCCCAACCATCTCAGTCGATGAAGGTTCATAACCTCGTCAACCGACTTCTGCGTTACTCACATGGTGACACAATGGAATACGTCCTATACTACGAAGACAATGATGGTTAAACACTTGAAGCCTTCTCATATCTTCCACCTTCAATGGCCATGTTTCACAGCCATACAGTAGAACAGACCGGACTGCTGTTCAGTACACGCGACCCTCAATAGACAATCGAATATCACAGTGGCGCCACAGGTGGCGTAAGTTGGCAAAAACCAGCTGAGCCTTTTGTATTCGTACAGAAACTTCATAGACCACCGAGCCACTAGAGCTGATCCTACTTCCCAGCTAAATGATATGGTCGACGCTCTCTACTGTTAGCCGAGGCACCGCTGAAGACCAACCCTGGAGCAACAATTTGGGTGGTGAAAAACGCATCCCGAACAACAACACTGATCATAGCATATTTTCATTAATTGTAAGTGATACTTGGAAATTACGATGCTGTCTATCTTCAGTGAGTATGTTTTACGGTCATTTTTTACACCAGAAAAGCACAGGCTATAGCACTATACACTAAATATCTGATATGTATTCGGTTGTTTCATTTGGACAACAAATCATATAGGTTGGCTAATAACGATTATTACCAAGATTCCCTGTTTGACAAACACCATCAAGATGATATGACTGACGTTCTGAACAACTTCACCTCCTACTGCTAAATACTGCATAGCATCATTCAGCGTTTCGTTCGTCTTTATGAAGACTTGACAAACTTTCGTATATTTTCATTCACGATGTTCATAAAACTCGTTAATTTCTGAGTTCCAGACCATTTCAACAGTAAGAAGGAAATATGAAAACACATTGCGAGATATGCTGACATTACAAATCTGTCAAGACGAAGAGAGCAGACGCACCTAATAAACCCACCAAGTTGACGTTAGATGAAATAGCATCTCTTTGAATATCTATGTACTTTCAGTGATATCTTTCAACCTCAACGAAAAGATATAGCATGATGTATACCTATCGTAGTATGGAATAATCAACACATTACAGATCACAGTTTAAAGCTTGTGATGTATTCTTAGATGTGCTTTTATATGCAACTGATTATATATACCAAATAACTGTTGGTTTTAGAATCTTACAAATTATTCTATATTCGACTAATCCACTTGAGTATAGCACAATACAGTGATACAGTACAATTTATGGCATGATTTTTCGAGTACAAATTACTTCTTATAATCACATTAAAGTAATTGAAGAGATGGGTACGAGGTTCGAGTCACAGTGGGAACAACATCACTCACTGGGGTGCGGATACGTCCAGTTGATGAGTCCCAAATAGGACGAAACGCGCGTCCTATGTTTCTCTGCTAACCACAACCAACCAAATTATCACAATTAACATTCAGGTAATATCGAGGCATCCACATAGGAGCCCATATCAAGGTAATTCAAGGCAATATTGCACATTCATTTGTTTACCCTAGAAAATCTACTACTTAGTAGGTACATTTCGACAATTTTTGTTAGGCATTACACTTTGTTTACTTATTCAAGTCAAAACATTTATGGATAAATTAATTGACACATTACAAGTGATGACCTTATAAATTATTCATAACAAATAACATAATCAAGTATGTTTTATAGATATTCATCCAACATCCTCAAATGGATACATTTGAAAATTATATAATTGGAAAATGCTGTTTATATATATATATATATATATATATATATATATATATATATATATATATATATAATTTATCAAATGTCAAGTCAGACCAGCTCCAAAATGAAGCGCTTTCTCTTGGGGTTCGTTTTCATACCCCAAAGAAGGTCTTTAACAAAAAAGATACTGAAAGGCACTTTGAGAACTTTTTCAATCATTTGGCCGGTCTACAGCTTGTTGGCGAAGAGAAGAAGAGGTGGTTCGAACCTAAACTTATTGATACTGCAAATCAGTACCAAACGTCCACACTACCCCAATCCCGAATCCCTATCAAAAGACATCGTTCGGCTTTGAAGGAATTGATAAACGATAAACGAATCGCAATTCTTCAACCTGACAACGGCTACGGTGTGGTTGTTATGAGTACGGAACCATGTATCAATAAGATGAAACTAACACTGGATCATACTGGATGACACAGGATGGATAATCTCAATAAACTGAAATGATAGAAGAACAAATCATTAAAGAACTCAGGGAACTACTCAAAAGAAAACTAATTTATTGATTATAAAACCTACAATGAACTCAGGACTGGAGGATCTAGTATACCACTCATGTATGAACAACCAAAACACATAAGAGGGACCGATTCTATCTAAGAATAACTCTCTTTATCAAAAGCTTTCCCGTTGGTTAGTGAAGATGGAAAGGATTTGTCAGAAATAGTCAATATATGCTTTGAAAGACTTTTGATTTCACAGAAACAATTAGACATCTCACTGTCAGACAAATTCATACGATACAACTTCTCGTTTCACGGGTATACCTCTCCTTGAGACAAAAGGAGTTATTTACCAATGACCAGAAGATGTCCCATTGCCAAAAAGAAGAAATGAAGTGTATCTTGCTTTTGTGCAGTGAAGATGTTCAACTTCAATTCAACAACATCATATATAAGGAAGTAGACGGTGCGACTACAGGAAGTTTCACTAGGACCAGTAATGGAGCATATATCCACCAAATGTCACTACCTTAAAACCTAAAATTAATGAAACCATGCTTTATTTAAGATATGTTGATGATACCTTCATTATCTGTGAAAAGGTTTAGCAAGCAAAGAAGCTGCTTCAACATTTAAACAATGCACACCATTGTATTAAGTTTACGATAAAATGTAAAGAGAAGCAGCAAGTGGATTTTCTCGACTTATGTTTGAGATGCAATGAAGACGACACAACAGAGAGGACCATTCATTGCAAAACTACGTGGAGCGGTCAACATTGAAACCTAAACAGCTACTGCTCGATCAGTTACAAGAGAGGTTTAGTGAAGACGTTATATCATGGGGCAGAGAGATTATGTTCCCGATAAAAATGCAAAAATAAATTCAACTAATCGAAAAATGTCAACACAATAATGGTTATCCGATGAAGTTTGTGCAGACCTACTGCAAAAGTAAGGAGAGAGAGAGGGGTGAATTATTGTTAAGAAAACAGTGTTTCTTAATTTGACTTTCAAGGGAGATGATGTTACGACAAAAACCAACGGACGAATTAGAAATGCATTGTCCAAGACCTATCCGACTGTGAGGCTTTTCTCGATGCACCAAACAACATGTGAAACTACACACTCCAAATGCGACATTATCTTAACTCTTGTTAACTCCAACTGTATTTGTCAATTTATATGTACATGAGGTAGCAAGTACGCAGGATTGCCAGGCTCATGTCAAAGAGTCTAAGTCTCAGAGATCCATCCCAGTTTTACAGTGCAATAGCTCGTCACTTATGTGCTACGCGATGCGATGAAATCCTTCATAGTAGTCAACAGACAAAATGCCTCGCAGCTACTACAATCATGAAACATAACTTTAGCTTCTTGTCGACTACCTCAGAACACTCAATACGTATATATATATATATATATATATATATATATATATATATATATATATATATAAAAGCTGAGATACATTACAGATGTATAAACTGGGGTGAATACTTGTCTAAGAAGACCATTCTCAGAGCCTTCAACGTGAAGTTCAATAAGAAAGCAGAGGTGCAACGCCACATGATGCGTTCCCACTACATCCATCTATTCTGGATCTTAAAGTTCATATATGCTGTTTAACCTGAAATCACAGTTTTTAAATCTCCCAAGCGAACTCTCAACTTCCGTCAATCCGGTAACAAGCACCTAATTCTTTTCAATTTCTTGGAAACATGCACATAGTGTGAAGACAGCATAAAAAACCTCTCTGATAAAAGGTTATCAACGTGTGGTAATGTGAGAATATTTCGTGAGTGAAAGCAAACAACTACCATCCACTGTTTTTATCAGAGCAATAAGTTTAGCCAATCCAAAGATAGGAAAAATGTACCGCCCTTTTTAGGGGTCAACTTCCAAAACTGATAGACTTTGATCTGTTTCCAGAAATTGAATTCTACAACTATTTACCATCCGCTGATCAATTCATGTAGAATAATTATTTCGAAATATGGGGACAGACTACTTTTTGAAGTGATATATGAATGGAGCAAAAGACCGCCCAAAAAGCAGTGTACATAACAATGATAATCAGAATTGATACAGTCTCTAGCCCACAAAGCTGCTCACTATCAAAAGTTCTCATTATTGTAGACAACTTTCTTGGCACTATGCTTTTGAATTCTCTCAAACAGACATCCTACTTGACAGTTAAACCAACGTAAAACTTGGTATAGAAGTACAACAGTTTAAGTTGTCACATTTTACAGCAGTATGCATATATGAGAAGTTAAGTGATAATGAAGTAGACCGACGTGTATAAGCTTAGAAAGACGAAGAAATAGACAGTGTTCGTAATTAGGAAGATGACAGAGTGAACATATCTACGGTATTACAGAACTTATCTTGAGTCTCGTCAAACATCGTTTTCTAAATTGGAAGAGATGTTTATGAGAGAAGAATGACTTCATCCCTTTCTACAAAGCAATATATAAAACACTTCAATTATGAAGTTAAAATACATATGGACATATGTGTATACTTCACCTACCAAAAATCTTGAACTTTCAGTTAAAAATTCTAATATTTGTGCAGCTTTTGCAGCACAGACTGAAGCCATTGCCGGTGAAATTAGATTAGAATACTTGGTTGGATAGACACTATTTATTGTGTTGGTCATATTATTTGAAGCGACAGCAGCAGCACCACCGACACTTCCAGACGACATACGGGCCACTAATCCACGAGCTGCATCCGCTAAACTTGCTGCGCATGTAGGCGATGAAGAATTGTTCATCTGGAGTGAACACATTGAAGTTGACAAGCAATTAGCTAGTCCAGTTAGTATGGGACCAGGTCCGCACATATCTAACAAGGATTGTCGACCACTTGGTAGAGATGACAAGGTGACGAATAAGTTACAAGCTGCTAGTCTAAGTGCACCAAGAATGTGAAAACTTCGTTGTTTTTCGACAGTCATACTGTTAAATAGAATAATATGCATGTGATTTAATTAAACTTTTAAACTGCTTTAGGAACAATAATAATTAAGAAAAATAAAATTATTTTAAACTAAAACTTTTCATGTAAAAGATGAATAAAATCAAGAAATAAAGTATTTGAAACGATATGCGCCGAGCTCAAGTTCCAGTGGGGACATCGTCACACGCCGAAGTGTAGGTGCAACCAGCTGACAAGTGCCAAATATGATGAAATGTGGCCCCTAGATTCTGCTGCTACCAACCACTAACATAATGAAACGAGGTGATATTAAGGCATCAGAACGAGCCCATAAGCCAACAAAAGGATGAATGAATTCAGCCCAGCAAAATAATCAACAGTAAATAGCAAGTATTCAATCGATAACGAATGAAGTATATTTACAAAAAGTCATATTCTCAGATGACAAACATATGTATGTAAATCACGCCCGACTGCAGTTACTTATGGACTTAAGGCTGTGAGCTGTTTCGCACCACCAAGTGTGTGGAAATTACGTCAGCGCATAATAATCGACTGTCAATAGCTCATGCAAATCAGTAACACCAAGTAAAATGACATAACACTAGGCTCGTTGCAACCTCAGACCACTGCTTACTTTGGTTACGGATACACAGACAATGATGCACTGGTTTTCTACTGTACAGGTTGATTAGTAATATTCAGAATTAAAGTGAGCAAGTATTTTCAAAGGATAAAAACTGAGATGAGTAGCATAAACATAAGTGACGGATAGATACGCAAGATAGTGAAGATCAGATGGCTAGAAAGAACGAGTAACAAGGAACTCTGGCTGGCAACGAACCAACCAAGAACCCATTGCCCAATAAATATGCAGAAGAAAGTGGAAACAGATCGGGCATACACTAACGAGACCACTTGGGGACATCACGCGCCAGGCAAGATCCTCAAGTGGAATCCAAAGGGGAAACGACGAGTTGGACGTCCGAGGGTGACATGGAAGAGATCGTATGAAGAAGAAATGAAAGCTTCTGGGCAGCCGTGGAGCCAGCTTTAAAAGACTGCAGAGAACAGAGTGAAATGGTGACGTGCTAGTGAAGCCCTATGTTCTACCAGGAATCCAAAGGACAAATAATAAATAATAATAGATACGTGGAAGACAAACGTACAAACCTTAAGCATACTGCAATGATCTAAATTGCTTTCCTCTTTAATAATAATAGTCAATCGACATCAGCAAGAGATCTAAGAATTACTGCGTAACGGTAACATTAAGAAACAAGATAGCAAGATGTAAAAAAATGTAAATCGAACATCAACGAAAGTCATAAAAAAGGAAGGATAAGAAAGAAAACAATAACGAAATTCAGTGTGACGATTAAGATAATGTGTGTGTACATCTACGCCAAGGAGATCGATTCTCAATCATATGGAACAGAGACTTCAACAGTCAATTCCAGTTGTCACATGGACCTGGAAATTTACATTCCCCCAGACAGATGAAACGGTCAGTTAGAAACCTGATGAACTGAGGTCATGTTTTATTCTGGCTGCCTAAAACTTCTTTCAAGCCTGAGCCTATTTCAGCTAACCATATGCTTTGAGGTAAACGGTGATTAGATACGTATAACACCTGAGTCGATAAATGCTTGCAACCAACTGCTGTGCAGTACACGATGCTTGCATTAGCATAGAATGGGAGTAATTAAATGAAGTGAAAGCAACTTGATGCTAAATAGTGAAATTTGAAATTAAGCTAGCATAGACCTTTTAGAAGCATGTCAATAGGAGACGGTGTCTGGAATAATGCAGAAAACATTTGTACTTTCGGACAGATACATTCGAAGAATGCAATAATCAGAATAATGACTTTTAACATCTACTACTCTATATGAGTCGTAAGACACATTCAGACTTGATTTAAGTCTCGAATATCGTATAATTTTCCAGAAAGAGAATATGGGGTAGTGTGCTGCTATTACTTTTGTCGGTAAGATAAACCATGTGCTGTATGGTCCTAAAATTTGCATTCAAAATTGATTTTATTTCCCAAACACTAATGAATTCAGAGTCTGTACTTTTGTATAGTGTAATCAGTAATTCTTTTTTATTTCTGTGCCACTTTAAAGGAAAAACAAACCGAAATAACCAATTAAATTCTACATTTGAAAGAAAAAACTGTCTTCTAGCCAAGATACAAAGAACTAATTGGTAATGTGAGCAATTCCAACGGTCTCCAAAAAAACACTCTTCGATAACGCTTCGTTAAGTGTATCAATAGTTTTGTTTTTGAGCATGTGACAAGTGGTGTGAAACATTTTGTCATCATTTTTCGTCGATATGGCGCTACTTATGTCGTACCAGTTTTTGGTTTTAAATAAAAATTAATAATTTCATACAGACAGTAAAAGTTATCGTTGAAGACTTGTGGAAAGTGAAATGTGGCAAATTGAGTCGATGCGCTTTTGGTTCATGTTCTACCTTGATCTCTATTTGTTTTTGTCCCTTCTTATTTTACATCTCCGTATGCCGGAATGTTGAAGTTACTGGTAATTGAACCAGTTTTAACTTGAAGAACGATATAGCACTCGGAATTCTTGTGAGCGATTAACAACTGTTTTGTGTGTTCCGCTTTATTAGTTATTTAGTTACCCAGTAGCACTTTAGCATCACAACAGAAATATAACATACGACTTAAAACAATACTATCACCGCCACGATTCACTGTCGATTGTGGAATCATGTGTCATATTTGACGACAGAGTCTCCGACACTAAGTGCTGAACCAATTCCGCAATGGTCATCCAGTTGTAACCACAATGAGACCCTTGAGGTGTAGATATGTATAATGGCCTAAGATGGACCAAGAAATTGAGAAGATATGTCAAAACTGTCTTAACTGCACTTCCGCAGCAAGAAATCCACCAGTCTCCCTCACACTCATGGCCGATGACCGGAACTTCATGGCGAAGAATTCAAGTTGACCTTGGTGGGTCAATGCAAGGAGAATTGTATCTTATTATTGTTGACACCCAGGACAAATCGCCTGAAGTTTTCTACATGTCACACACAATCCACAACGGAAGCTACGATTGCCAAATTGACTAGTTTGTTTAGCTGCTTCGATGACCTATGGTAATCGATAATGGTATGCGATTCACTTCAGTAGCGTTTTTAGCCTTTTGCAGACAAAATGTAATCCAGTACTTACGTTCTCCACCTTACCAGCCACAATTAAATGGTCAGAGAGAACGATTTGTGGATACATTTTAAACGTGCTTTATTGAAAGGGGAAGGAGAAGAATCAGTAAGCACTGTAAATTAACTAAGACCAAGACATCATAATCCCAGTATAAATGATATTCCTTTCGGCTAAACACTCCATATATTACTGGACAACCCATAGCAATTAGAAAACGATTCATGATTTGGAAACAGCAAGGAGAATTGCCAGAATTCTGTTGATCCGGAGCCACCACAGCGTCGAAGGACTAGTTTCAGGAAACCCATCAAAAGATCTAAGTGAACCGTAAGCAATACTCTTATACACAGTCATTTTTTCAAAGAGGTAGGTGGTGAAGAGTATGACAATATCCTTCAATTCCTTCAAAAGCCTCAAGATCTCTGAAAAGCCTTCACAGCCAATCATGGCATGTCGAAGGTTCGCAAAAAACCCTATAATTATACGTATGAAACTCAGATTGTCTAAAAAAACTCTGCATGATGGTTTAAAACCTTACAAGGTCATCAAAAATGTATATAAACCGTTAGTTTTTGTACATATTCGACTGCACAGTAAACCCGTAGCGTTTTCGCCATTTCTTTTCTATTTTCGAGGAACCGAGTGACCCTCAAAGGCGAAACCTAAGGTTGTTGTTCAAGAGCTCACCTATATATATCAACAAGCTCTTGGAGATTATCATCACTTTCGAAAGATAAAAATGGTGTTGAAATAAGTTTGAATAAAAGTTCCGTGTGTTGTTTTATATCGAGTATGCATATATATGAAAAGCTCCTCTTATCTACAGAGAGCACACAACAACAGTGAAATTTCGAAGAACATAAACTAGCACCTCAGTGAATGAGAGCGCCGTGTTAAACTAGTCGCATAAGAATGCAGAAGAGTTAAAAAAAAACATTGTATATAATTGTTCACTGTTATTGTTCAAAAAAATTCGCAGGTTAGAAATTATTGTAACATTTTTAACTACTCGATCTATTTGAGTAGTATACCTATATTATCCATTAGTAAAAGTGAAACTATTGTCAAGTTTCTGTTGACAACGCATACAGTGCACAGCACAAGGTTGTTTTAAAAAATTGAACTTTGCTTTTATAACCCCTGAAATGTATGTGATGTTTTATCGACGAAATTGGAATCACACTAAAATTTGATAAATTCAGAAATTATGCAAAAAAAGAAAAAAACACTAACAAACCTGAAACTATTCTGCGTAGAAATCGAAGAGTCAGCGATTCGTCGAACAAAATCTGGTGATAAGTTGAGACAAGCAAGACCAACTTTAATTAAATTAGGCTGACGTTCAATAAGTAATCGCTGGTTTTCTGCACAGTCAGTTGTAAGATTATCAGCCAAGTTGAGTAGTGCAAGCATCCTCTCTGCTTCATCAAGTATGGAATGATTTGATTCAGCAATATCGCCTTTTTCATTATTCTGTGCAAGATCCTCATTCGAACCGGTTTCTTTGGATTCACCCAAATTGAAAATCTCATAAACTGTCTGGACAGTAAAACACCAAATATCGCGAAATTTACAGATAATATCTACCTTGCACAACACAGAATATTACAAAGCAAACAGTAAAAATTAACGTGTAATCAAAAACAGAAATTCATTAACTCAAGTTGATACACTTCAGAGAAGCAAACAAACAATAAGTTGGTAGCGAAAGAGTGATAAAGAAGTACACAAAAGTATAAGTGAGAAAAGAAATTTTGAAAAATGTAAGGTAGTCAAAATGTTCAAACATACGAAAACGTCAGAGTGGATACATCTCCTCCATGGTGACCGATTTTCAGAATGTCAACAAAGGTTTCCAACTACTAATTCCTATACTCTCCAATAGCAGAGTCGAACACCCCATAATCCTCTCGATCACTCATGACAATCGTCTCAGAGTTCAAAGACTCCCGCAACAACTTAATCTGAACACACTTCAAGTTATTCCAACTAAATTTAACTTCAGCCAGCGAGCCCAGCATATACTAAAACAAGCTTACTCAACAGAGCTTGTAGCCTGGCTGACTAACTAACGCACTTACCCTTCGCCTAACCCCATTATTTTTTATACGCGCATTCTAACCTAAGTGAGAAACGCTGCAAAAATACCGGTATTCCAGAACCTTCAAATTTACGACAACGTAAAACAGCTATAAACTCCAAAATCAACGGCATATGCAACACCCCAACAAACAAAAGTAGTCCACGCAATCAGTAACTTCACTCCATGATATGAAAACAGAAGTCGTTGGAGACAAATTACCGAGGAACATAACAAACCAGATAAACGCAAGCCGAATGTAAGCTAAACACAATCAGATTTCTACTAAACTCCTTTAGGAGGCAAGAAAACTAGCCACCGTCATCACTTAACACCAAACTCTAGTCTCCTACCAAATGAACCAAAAAATTTACAACAAGTGCATCAATCCTTGTCAACCAAAACGTGCTTAAGATTGCGTCCATTAGTACACCCACAACGAAGTCAAGTAGGAACAGTGACAGTGACCATCCTCGGCGGACACCAGTAGCTGTCGTCAACTCTGATGACAACTCTTCATAAGCCCCAACACAACTGTGCGTGTTCAAGTAGAGAGCTCTGATAAGCATTATATACTTACTCGCTACTCCGTTCACCGTCAGACACTATCACAACACCTCACTGTCAACAGAGTCGTATGCCATCTACATGTCAAGAAATATGCCAAGTGTCGGTCATTGGCCGGTAAGTATGCCTGTGTTCCAGAATTTGTCTGATCGATGCACCCAACTCTAGGTCTGAGAGCTGCTAATTTTATCGAGCTCCGTGTTCTCGTTCCCAAATAGTAGGGCGTTGGATAACTGGATCCTAATACCTTACATGTGATACCAGTCAAACTGATTCGCCTATAGTGAAATCACACGAGAACTTCTCTCCGTTCACACGGACTGGAATGATCAGAGATGTAATGCCGTCTGACAGGATGGTCTCCCAGTTCCACACCCTAGGTAATATATCTTGGTTCCTTGACTGAGTAATTCCCTACCCAAATCCTTCGAAACATCTGGTGTCAAACCGTTATGTTCTGCCACTTTGCACTGTTTTGCACGTTTGGAACAGCTTTCTCAACTTCGACGAGAGTTGGAGGATCGAGGTCTGTGTCTCGTCGAGATTCGAGCTGGATGCTGGGTGACTGAAGCGTTGCATAGACCAGTTGAAATTTTCAACTGAGTCTTTCGCCCAACGTCCCGGGTGATATCTTCTCTGACATTTTCCCTGTCACCACCGGCCACTGCTCACCACCATCACTGCGAAGTCCGATAGTCAAATTCAGATGGGCTCAGATCCACGCACAACTGCAGACCGAAAATTGAACTTGAGCTTATTTAGCTAATGCAATTTGTGTAGAAGAGCATGTTGGAAACAGTTTTGTGAATCATCTTTGTCATGCCGAGCAATCATCATAACCACACAGCCAATAAGCATTTCAACAACCCATTTATTATTTCGTTATGTATTGTAAGCCGTTATCCTTGTTAATACATTTGAAAAGTGCTGTGCAAACAATAGATCCTTGTAATTTGACATGCTAGCGAATTCTGTACAGTGAACAGATTTGTGATTCAAAATAGAGCAGATACACTACCAATCATCTCCCTCCTGATTGTAGTCAGAGCCAGCAGCAATGAGTCTTCTCGAATCAATCAGTGCGAATGAGGTTGTGAAAATCCACTATCACCTGCTGACTTTTAGATCCAGGTTACTAACTGACTTTACGACTGTTCCTGCAGCAGACTGAATATCACATCGTGCTTCATCAGAACGAAAATTGTCTTTACGTTCACACAGATACTTCCATCAGCACCTCCTCCTTAAGGGTACAACTGGCATTCTCATCTTCCGACTGAGCATACATAAACTTCACTACTGTCCCTTTTAATGCGATCATCTACATGCTCATCAGAACGTGTGATCGGAGTCCAAACAAGCACTCCAGAAACAACGGTAACTCTCCAGCCATGACTTTTAGCAACATGGTCCATTTGTACCCATCGTCAGTTAAAATGTCATTGGACGCCATATGAAACAGTGTCCATTTCACTACTTAAAGTTGGAGCTGGCTGGAAGCAAGTGACTACCAGAACAAAACTTCAAGAAACAATCACCCTCGTCAATACCATCTGATGTGATACCGAAGACACCTGTCAGGTAGATGACTTTCCCATTAGCACAACCTCCCTCCCTACCTGGGTGTTGAAGTAGGTGTTCAGACGGTTGCTATTATGAGTACACCTGAACATTTCACTTTATGTAACGAAATTGACAGCTTTTGGTAGAACTCACTCTACGTATCATTCGAACTACAATGAATGGAAGTGCCGATGGAGACTACGAATAAGCACCTACTAGTGTTCTTACAGATCCATTCAACTGAACATCACACAGGTAGGTGGATTTCGACTGGAATGCAGTCGAGAGGTGCGCTTCCTGTTCTACAATGTGAAGCCATATCTACACCAGCCAGTCAACAACAGCTAACCATTGCAGTTACCGTCGGACACTCGGAAGATGAATTTCGCAGATTCACCACATTGGTCGGTCGGTTGGTCGGTCGGTCAGGTTAGGTTAGGTTAGGTTAGGTTGGGTTAGGTTAGGTTAGTCAAGTGAATGAATAAGCCGCCTACTGAACTTCTGTATTCACGTGTATCCGAAATGCAGCACAATACATCCATAGATGAAGATTACAGAGTTTTGGCAAGAGATGCTTGCTGTCCGATTGCGAATAGAGTTCGTACGTGGAAGACTTCAATGTGAAATCGGCAGTGGGTTTTAGGAGACTAGAAATGGTGTTTCGCTGACCTGAATTGCTAGGAATAAGCGCACAGTGATACGTGGTTGGAATTGTAGAAGTGCTCACAAAGTAAGTACGGCTCAAAATCTGTAATACACGCCCCCAGTGGATGGTCGGGTTGCCTTACAATGCGCAATGTTACCAGAGTTATACGTGGGATATGCAACAATACATCTGTTATACATTCAAGTGGCTGTTGATACCAAAAAGCACTTGTTTTTAAGGAGGGTGTTTACTGTCACTACTTCTACTACTTTACACTGTAGATATTGACAGAATATCCAACAGATGCAATTTGGAGGTTTTTGGGGGTTTATTTAATGATATGAAGTTGGTATTCATCATGGAATGACATCAGTTGGAGAAATATTGGAAAATTGTGGGCATTAATTAGCTGTTTCATCCTATTATGGGACTCTTCAGACGGCTGGTAGTTTTTCTAGGCCTAAGGAGAAAGGTTACAAAATTCATTTAAACTCAGTGTAAGTAAAAAGAAACCGTTCAGAAATCACTTATCAGGTTCAACTGAGAAATATATATAATCAAAACTTACATTAACTTCCTTGTCAAGGAGGCTAAATCCACTTTTCACACGAAATATTGTTTGCAAATCTGACAATGTTTCAGCTGTAGATTGTTTAGATAGCTCACACGGTTCAGAAGTTGTAGATTTTTGAGGTGAATCAGAACGTTTGTTCTTCTTATTCAACTTTTTTTTTTCTGAATTCTGTTTCAAACCTTCTGATGATGATTTCACCTTGACATCCCAGTTTGCGTCTTTAACTTCATTGACAGGGGTGGGTGGTAGTGGTTTTGGAGCATCAATAAAAAGACGATTCATACGACGTAATCCTGCGCTATAGTACTTTGAATTTTGATTTCTACGAGCCAACTGAGCTAATAGACACAATAACTGTTGACTGAAAATAAAATTATAATGGATTAGAAAGCAACTCAAATAGGTACATGTTTATGCTCTGAGCTATAAAGCTACACTTATTTTGTGAGGGTTTGATATCACTATCCGGTTGCCTAGACAGAAAAGGTGAGTTGATGGGGGAGGAAGCAAAAGACTACAAAAAGAAATCGGGATCAAGTAGAAGTGCTGCATAAAAAAGCACCAGCTCAAGTTGTCAAATACTTTGCTACAAGAGATTAAAGAAACACGGAATTGAATAGAATGATAACAACAGACAAGGAGAAGAAGAAAATAACCCGATGAAGGTTAATAAAATGTCTACAACTTCGATGATAAAGAGTGACTGTGATCGATTTTGGGTAATAGCACAAACAGTTCTCCAACCATTGATTATTAACATCTTGTGGACTCTAACAAGACAATCTGAATTTGTCCTTAGAATAATTAGTCAAATAGCAACTTATACAGTTTTTCTCACTTGTCATATTTACATGAGGCTGAATGTCAAGCATGAATATGATTGAAAAGCTGTTAAAAATTCTTCTTCCAGACTAAACATAATAGGAACTTCTGTTATCAGGTACTTGATGAGTAGTGCGAAAACTAACTGCAATAAAAATGTGTTCAGGTTGGCTATAATACAAGACAAGGTCTATTGGAAGACTTAAGTTTTCAGACTAATCACTTGACTTACACAATAGGGCAGAGGTATGAACAACAAAAAAAGAAACTACCATTGAAATATATGTCTAAACGACATCATCGTGGCAAAGATTTTAAGAAATGATTAAATTAACACTTTAGTAATAAATTAACAAGAGGAGGAGTCGGTAATATAATAAATAAACCAGTAATTTTTGGAAATCCTAAGTGTCTAGAATAGAACATGGTAATAAGTTTCAACCCTTTCATCTCACCGCCTTTTGATGATGTGAAGTGTGGTAACTAAAACCATTAGGCTGTAATCCTAGATCCAAAATTAGTATTGAGTGCCTGACTGAATAAGCGAGAATATTAGGATAGGAAATAAGCCGAAATACATAGTGCAGAGAATACTAGTTAATTACATTTAAATGAAAGGGAAAGGAGGGTGAAAAAAAGAGATACACAAAAACCGAATATTAGGATTGACTGCTGTTTCTTTTTGTTGTAAACTATGACTCATCTGAAATTCTATAACGTCAGATATCGTAATTTCCACAAGAATTTTTAGTTGAATATTTCACACAATGAATAATACAATAAAATGAATGTTTCGAACACAATTTACTATTCATGGTCATCTGACTTCACAATACATGGGTCAAAGATAAACGAAACGGTCAACTGCGCTGACAGAACACAACGCTTGATTAAAGATAGAACAGTAGATCATCAAAAGATAAGACATCTAGAGGAAAGGTCAGCTATAGCTATGCATACAGAAAAAAACACAAACAAGATGAACAGAGACATCGAAATGCATCAACAGGCACAGAAATGCATCCATCCAGGTGGCTACTAACATTAATATGTACATGAGGACTGAAAAAAGGTATTAGAAAAATAATGCAAGAAAAGAGTCTGGGCACTGTGGAAAAGTATTATTCCCTTTATGCATCACCTTTTTAATACGTATCATAGCGAAACAGCATCATTTTACTAATGACATTACAGCAAAATCTCCTCGAAACGTCAACTACATACAATACTCTGTGACATGAAGCAACAATGGAAAAATAAACATCATAAACAAAAAAAATAAAAGCGAACGAGTGGATACAAAACACAGTAATGAAAAAACTTTCTAGTTTTCATCTCGAGATCGAGCCACAAAAATCTCAACTCAGTAACGCCTAAAAAACCATGTGTTAAAGTTCAAACACAAACATCCATTGAACTACGTCGACACACCGAAGTTAAAACCCATTATCTGAAATACGCCAACCGCAAAAACAACATCGACGACAATAACACTTCAGAAGCAAGAACCAACCACACACCTCCATCACTATATTAAACTCAATCATCAAACACTACCCACCTCCTCACCCTTCTCTCTTTCCTCATCTTCACTTTCTGACACCAATATTAAACCTCTTACAACTTCATTCACCTCTCACTGTGCGATTATTGCTAGCAATTCAGGTCAGCGAAACACCATTTCTAGTCTCCTAAAACCCCACTGCCGATTTCACATTGAAGTCTTCCACGTACGAACTCTATTCGCAATCGGACAGCAAGCATCTCTTGCCAAAACTCTGTAATCTTCATCTATGGATGTATTGTGCTGCATTTCGGATACACGTGAATACAGAAGTTCAGTAGGCGGCTTATTCATTCACTTGACTAACCTAACCTAACCCAACCTAACCTAACCTAACCTAACCTGACCGACCGACCGACCGACCGACCAATGTGGTGAATCTGCGAAATTCGTCTTCCGAGTGTCCGACGGTAACTGCAATGGTTAGCTGTTGTTGACTGGCTGGTGTAGATATGGCTTCACATTGTAGAACAGGAAGCGCACCTCTCGACTGCATTCCAGTCGAAATCCACCTACCTGTGTGATGTTCAGTTGAATGGATCTGTAAGAACACTAGTAGGTGCTTATTCGTAGTCTCCATCGGCACTTCCATTCATTGTAGTTCGAATGATACGTAGAGTGAGTTCTACCAAAAGCTGTCAATTTCGTTACATAAAGTGAAATGTTCAGGTGTACTCATAATAGCAACCGTCTGAACACCTACTTCAACACCCAGGTAGGGAGGGAGGTTGTGCTAATGGGAAAGTCATCTACCTGACAGGTGTCTTCGGTATCACATCAGATGGTATTGACGAGGGTGATTGTTTCTTGAAGTTTTGTTCTGGTAGTCACTTGCTTCCAGCCAGCTCCAACTTTAAGTAGTGAAATGGACACTGTTTCATATGGCGTCCAATGACATTTTAACTGACGATGGGTACAAATGGACCATGTTGCTAAAAGTCATGGCTGGAGAGTTACCGTTGTTTCTGGAGTGCTTGTTTGGACTCCGATCACACGTTCTGATGAGCATGTAGATGATCGCATTAAAAGGGACAGTAGTGAAGTTTATGTATGCTCAGTCGGAAGATGAGAATGCCAGTTGTACCCTTAAGGAGGAGGTGCTGATGGAAGTATCTGTGTGAACGTAAAGACAATTTTCGTTCTGATGAAGCACGATGTGATATTCAGTCTGCTGCAGGAACAGTCGTAAAGTCAGTTAGTAACCTGGATCTAAAAGTCAGCAGGTGATAGTGGATTTTCACAACCTCATTCGCACTGATTGATTCGAGAAGACTCATTGCTGCTGGCTCTGACTACAATCAGGAGGGAGATGATTGGTAGTGTATCTGCTCTATTTTGAATCACAAATCTGTTCACTGTACAGAATTCGCTAGCATGTCAAATTACAAGGATCTATTGTTTGCACAGCACTTTTCAAATGTATTAACAAGGATAACGGCTTACAATACATAACGAAATAATAAATGGGTTGTTGAAATGCTTATTGGCTGTGTGGTTATGATGATTGCTCGGCATGACAAAGATGATTCACAAAACTGTTTCCAACATGCTCTTCTACACAAATTGCATTAGCTAAATAAGCTCAAGTTCAATTTTCGGTCTGCAGTTGTGCGTGGATCTGAGCCCATCTGAATTTGACTATCGGACTTCGCAGTGATGGTGGTGAGCAGTGGCCGGTGGTGACAGGGAAAATGTCAGAGAAGATATCACCCGGGACGTTGGGCGAAAGACTCAGTTGAAAATTTCAACTGGTCTATGCAACGCTTCAGTCACCCAGCATCCAGCTCGAATCTCGACGAGACACAGACCTCGATCCTCCAACTCTCGTCGAAGTTGAGAAAGCTGTTCCAAACGTGCAAAACAGTGCAAAGTGGCAGAACATAACGGTTTGACACCAGATGTTTCGAAGGATTTGGGTAGGGAATTACTCAGTCAAGGAACCAAGATATATTACCTAGGGTGTGGAACTGGGAGACCATCCTGTCAGACGGCATTACATCTCTGATCATTCCAGTCCGTGTGAACGGAGAGAAGTTCTCGTGTGATTTCACTATAGGCGAATCAGTTTGACTGGTATCACATGTAAGGTATTAGGATCCAGTTATCCAACGCCCTACTATTTGGGAACGAGAACACGGAGCTCGATAAAATTAGCAGCTCTCAGACCTAGAGTTGGGTGCATCGATCAGACAAATTCTGGAACACAGGCATACTTACCAGCCAATGACCGACACTTGGCATATTTCTTGACATGTAGATGGCATACGACTCTGTTGACAGTGAGGTGTTGTGATAGTGTCTGACGGTGAACGGAGTAGCGAGTAAGTATATAATGCTTATCAGAGCTCTCTACTTGAACACGCACAGTTGTGTTGGGGCTTATGAAGAGTTGTCATCAGAGTTGACGACAGCTACTGGTGTCCGCCGAGGATGGTCACTGTCACTGTTCCTACTTGACTTCGTTGTGGGTGTACTAATGGACGCAATCTTAAGCACGTTTTGGTTGACAAGGATTGATGCACTCGTTGTAGGTTATCTGGTTGACTTGGAGTAGGTAGACTACATTGTCCAGTTAGCTGAAGACGCTAACCAGACGCAATGTTGAGGTCAGGATAACGGTTATAATCGAGGAATGCATGTGAATGGATGAGGTTGTGAAGCTTCATCGAAAGGTATTTTGCTTGAAGAGTCTCCCCGTACTACGAAGAGGAATGCTGAAAGAATTGGACAAGTCTCAGGCAGATCACATCAAAACCTGGCACCAGTCAGTGAATTCTGTCAGTTTATGCCATATATGTATGAAAATGCCTGTTGATGGCCCGGCGTCTTTGAAATGTATGGTATCCACGGCTGCAGAAGGTTAGTGATATTGCTGAAAATGGGTTACGATAGTGCAAAGATGTTCAGCTTTAAACATCTTAAACTCCCCTCCCTCTCTCTTTCTTTGACATCACTCTTTTTATGCTCACTTTTTTCTGCGTGTTGATGTGAAGTGTAGTAACTTGAACTTATGCACCTCTGTGTGAGGTCCTACATTAATTTATGTGTCTGTATCTCGCCTTGAATCTTTGTAACCTGTAGTAGACGGTAGTTCAAAATCCTTTACACATCTGAGTTGTGTTGTATCCTCTGAACTGAGCATATAGAGCGGAACATAACCAAGATTATCCTTCTGAGCTACAAATACTATTTATGCTTAACATATCTCTCGAATAATTCAATCAATCCAATGTAGCAACCTCACTGACTTACTTTATAACCATACAATCTTAGTTTATGTAATTAGCCAATAACGTTATCTGCTTTCGTATGAACATAACAGATTTGTTTATTTGATGTAATACAATCAGCGATATGGTACGCGTAATTATTACTACCCATCAAACAATACTATCACTGTGTATGCAATTCCTACTTTATATTTAATCTTGGGCAAGAGATGAGTGTGGAACAACATTCGCAAAACAGATGTATTTGATAGCCTGTGTAATTCAACAACCACAAGGACTTGTGTACCAGTTTATGAGTTATATCTTCTATGTGAAAACCAGTAATGAAAATTGGTTGCTGAAGCCTTTTTAATTGATATGGTACGACTGAGGGCCCGTAGAGCTTCAAACAATTAAACAACTGGTCTAAAGACTTATTTCAGCTTGTTTATCGCATCATGCATCTTTTATTATCGGCAACAGAAAAAGCTTCAATAAATTTGTCCTTATTTTGCTGCTGAAATCAAATTTCTTCAGTATTTGATTAACGAAGGTGTTAACTCATAAATGCTCGTTCTTTTCGCGAGTAGATTTCATTTTTCACATGTCAAGTCACGTATCTCCGAAACCAGTAGCGTCAGTCAAAATGTATTTAGTTGTTAAATACTTCAATGAGTAAGACTTCATACATACGTAGAACATAGTAGCTGCAAACTATTAGAGAAGCAGCTACTAGTATAAATACAAGCTCGTAATGATTCGATATTAGATTATATACAATATATTGAATCCTACAATTTAAAAACTAAACATCCATACTCATCATCCTTGGCACACACTCCACTTGTTTCAACTGCTGTAGGTTAAAAAAGAAAAGCCGAACTGATTTGCCTCTGTTACCCAAAACTACTTTATTAACCTTGAAAATCAGTAAGTTGACACCTACTACATACTAATTTTTAAACTTCAAACAACACCAAACACACAAAATATTGTAGTGATCCGGAGGTTACCAATCCGAAATTCTGTCGTGAAAAAATCTTTTCAATAACAATCATCAGCATCTCGTTCCCTCTCTATGATAAGTTTCAAGATGATTTTAAACATTTGTATCGAATTAGGAATACTTTGAAAATTGATCTATTCTAATGACTTGCACAACTATTGCACTGAACAAAGAGCGATTACAATGTCGGGACCATTATTTTGTAAGTCTTAAAAGTTTCATGGAAAATAAAGAAATCTACTCTTGAAGATAATATAAGCAATTGAACTAATTTTCAACAGTAATACTCATAAAATCTACAAATAGGTACTAACCTGGGCGAAACATTTTCAAAATTCCCGTTCGAACTAGACATGAAACCTATTGCTGACTCGGCAAAACTAGCCTCCGCCTCTGCATTAGCTTTCTGAGCAGCAAGAGCAGCCTCAGCCTGCGAAACATACTCGACTAAATAATTAGGCCACTTTTCTTCATTTGAATCTTTCAAAAGACATTTTTCATTCTTTGGTGTTGAATAATAACGTGAAAGTGTATAAGCAGCAAGGGCATCCGATGGTCTATTGAGTGATACTAAAGCCTTGCCTCTATGCAAATGAACTTTTGCCAGACGAGGATTAGAAGTAATTTTGTCATTGAATGTCAATGGTTTTCCATCAGGGCTCAATTGTGGAGCTTCTGGAAAGAGTAACAAGGCTGTATCGCAGTCTTGCAACGCTAAATCAGGTTGACCGAGACGAAGGTATGCCTGAGTGCAGAAACACATTGGGAATAGAGATATGTATGGCAGATAGAATTAGTGGATCTTAAAAAGTTACTATTCAAGATTATACGCATCCAGGTCATAGTTGTTACAATTGTCCTGGAAAAAGTTGAGCGCCGAGTTTATTCTAAATATAAGAGTATACTTTAATATAATTCCAGCGTGTTTAGAAAATCAAAACAAGATATTTAGCTGTGTACGCCATAGATTCCTCACCAAAATATATGGATGCAGTGAAGATAGCTAATATTGTAATATGCAATGAGAAAAGCATGCCTCTATGAATAGGATAAGTTTAGGTAATAAACACTTTGCTCACCCAGTGTTGCCGAACGCAGTTTAGTCAGCAGATCACAGACAGACTCAAGTCATGACAGTCCATAGATTCCCCGTTTTAGAAATCTACAAATACGATTACTTTTACAGACACCTTTGAAGAGATTCATCTTTAATTGTGGTGACCCCTGGGTGGGGTCAGTGGCTTGAGACATTATCAGATATGACTCAGAATCGAAACCAGTGACGGTCATGGTGTAGCTTCCTCTTATCTTCTGCTGCTGAAAAGTGATGGATTTTTTGTTTTGAACGTACCCTACCGGACTGCTCTTCTTAATCATTATATCCTTTAAGTGTTTCTCTTTTTATCTACTTCCCTTCGCTTTATGTCTTTGAAATAATGTTATATTATTTTGTGTGAGCATTTGTTGGCGCCCTTGTTGTACCATTTTTGTACTCTAACAATAATAATATCGACAGGATTTGTAACGATGTCTGACCGTGCTTCCATCTTATTGTATACTGTATTCAGTAGGAGGTCAGGAAGTTTCCAACTCTCGAACTAACCGAAACCCAACAGTTTGGATTAGCATCAGTAATGTAACAAACTCCTTCAAAAGTAGTATTTCTAAATGAAGTACAGCGGTATAATTGACCTACCAGTTGAAGCTTACCGCTACAAGCACTGGTAGCTGCTTATGTAGTTCTCAACTTTCTTGGTCAACCGAAGTTGCGCCAGGTCCCAAGAGATTACTGTGATATTAGACGCTGTATTGAATCCGAAGTACGTAGACTGACCATTTGTACTCAGCGTTATATATTGCTGTTGAACTGGGTTACTGATGTGAAACGTATAGCCATGATCCTGAGGGATAGTACAGAAGGTCGACATTGAGATAAGCTTCTTTTGCTGTTAGCTGGGCTTGACTGGCGGCAAAACCCATTCTTATGACCCACCGAATAACAACAGCGACATCTGCGTTGTCTGAAGGGGCAAGATTTCACATAATGCCAAGTTCCACAGTACTAACAGGCAGACGGTGGTATTTTCTGAGTTCTAGTTGTACGGGGGGTGCTGCATTATATGTAGTGTGGCTACTGGATGTTTAATTGCGAAAACTGATGACACGTACTGGCCACCAATTTGCATCAGGGTGTTATCTCGCTGTATGTTAGTTAATCGTTGATGTTCCTCACCAATATATTCCGACGCCAGCTTCAGGTATTGTTACAGGCGATTCAGTAGACGAGTGCGTATATCCGCGAATTTCGGCGATCGAAAAGCACAGATGAATATGAGCACTTAGAATTGCTCATCTGTTAGAGACTTTAGCTTAAATTGTTCACATGCTTTATTCGCGTTTCCAAGATGTGTATGGACGTCACTTTAGTACTATTTTCACGAAATGGTAACGCGCACTGGAGAGGGACTGATGTTTTTCAAACTGCTAACGTTATGCTTAGATTGTTTCATCAAATCTTCTTTTGCGTTGATTCTGTGGAATAATGAGATTACAGTATTTGTACAATTCATCTAGACCAAGCTTTCGAAGTAGGAATCTGACTTTCCATGAATCGTCTTAATTTGTAAAATCACCTCTAAGGTCTTCACATCTTTGGAACCATGCATCAAAAGTGACATTAGTATCAGGATCATACACAAGCTCTGAAATACTAGGACAAATTACATCATCGGCAGATTAATTTGAGGTAGATGAAGCGCCACGCAGAATGTCAAGCAGTTCCATCAGCTTCAGCTGCTGCTCTATTTTCAAGACTTCCATCCCCATATATATATATATATATATATATATATATATATATATATATATATATATATATATATATATATATATATATATATATATATATATATATATATATATATAGCCTTAACTTACAGCTACCTCGTACACCACCGACTTCGAATCCCAGACGAAAATCAAAAAAGAAGACTAATCCACATGAGGGAGTTCATTGAATCCAAGATTTAAAATAATGTGCTATGTGACTTTGTTCAGAATTCGGAAAATTACGCAGTAAAAAATAAACATCAATTAATCTACGAATTACTTTGAAAAAAAGGGAGGATAAACTAATGGCCATGGTGTAAGGGGCTGGGAAAACGAAAACTCAAAAATGTACGGATCCATAAATAATGGATCACAAGATAACTCACCATAAACTCTAATACATAGACGGGAGCTTCAGTACACAGCATTAAACAGTGTCACACACTAACTATAAACTCAGAAGAGCGAGGTATCCACTTATAGGACTTTACAGTCAACGATATTAAATACCACCTTCACTCACAGAAATACACTTGATAACAAATATCAAAAAGTTAGCCAGTGATCCACAACATTAGGAAGTATTAATATTCAACAGATATACTGCAAAAAGCATTCAAAATGCATGAAAACTTACAGCCTTCCGTACCCATAATACAGTAACTACATAGCTCAGAATCAGACACACTCCGAAAACACTACCACGTCATGAAAAGTTGGGAAGTATCAACCAACCACACACCTCCATCACTATATTAAACTCAATCATCAAACACTACCCACCCTCCTCACCCTTCTCTCTTTCCTCATCTTCACTTTCTGACACCAATATTAAACCTCTTACAACTTCATTCACCTCTCACTGTGCGATTATTGCTAGCAATTCAGGTCAGCGAAACACCATTTCTAGTCTCCTAAAACCCCACTGCCGATTTCACATTGAAGTCTTCCACGTACGAACTCTATTCGCAATCGGACAGCAAGCATCTCTTGCCAAAACTCTGTAATCTTCATCTATGGATGTATTGTGCTGCATTTCGGATACACGTGAATACAGAAGTTCAGTAGGCGGCTTATTCATTCACTTGACTAACCTAACCTAACCTAACCTGACCTGACCGACCGACCAACCGACCGACCAATGTGGTGAATCTGCGAAATTCGTCTTCCGAGTGTCCGACGGTAACTGCAATGGTTAGCTGTTGTTGACTGGCTGGTGTAGATATGGCTTCACGTTGCAGAACAATAAGGAAAACGTTCAGGCACACTCTTGATTGCAGGCAACTTACTTCCTGTGTTCATGCTAACTCATATACGCAGTCCAAGCAAGTACTCCAGAAACCACCACTATCCTAAAGGGACGACTTATGGCAACATAGTCCATTTGTACCCATCGTCAGTTAAAATGTCATTGGACGCCATATGAAACAGTGTCCATTTCACTACTTAAAGTTGGAGCTGGCTGGAAGCAAGTGACTACCAGAACAAAACTTCAAGAAACAATCACCCTCGTCAATACCATCTGATGTGATACCGCAGACACCTGTCAGGTAGATGACTTTCCCATTAGCACAACCTCCCTCCCTACCTGGGTGTTGAAGTAGGTGTTCAGACGGTTGCTATTATGAGTACACCTGAACATTTCACTTTATGTAACGAAATTGACAGCTTTTGGTAGAACTCACTCTACGTATCATTCGAACTACAATGAATGGAAGTGCCGATGGAGACTACGAATAAGCACCTACTAGTGTTCTTACAGATCCATTCAACTGAACATCACACAGGTAGGTGGATTTCGACTGGAATGCAGTCGAGAGGTGCGCTTCCTGTTCTACAATGTGAAGCCATATCTACACCAGCCAGTCAACAACAGCTAACCATTGCAGTTACCGTCGGACACTCGGAAGACGAATTTCGCAGATTCACCACATTGGTCGGTCGGTCGGTCGGTCGGTCAGGTCAGGTTAGGTTAGGTTAGGTTAGGTTAGTCAAGTGAATGAATAAGCCGCCTACTGAACTTCTGTATTCACGTGTATCCGAAATGCAGCACAATACATCCATAGATGAAGATTACAGAGTTTTGGCAAGAGATGCTTGCTGTCCGATTGCGAATAGAGTTCGTACGTGGAAGACTTCAATGTGAAATCGGCAGTGGGGTTTTAGGAGACTAGAAATGGTGTTTCGCTGACCTGAATTGCTAGCAATATCGCACAGTGAGAGGTGAATGAAGTTGTAAGAGGTTTAATATTGGTGTCAGAAAGTGAAGATGAGGAAAGAGAGAAGGGTGAGGAGGGTGGGTAGTGTTTGATGATTGAGTTTAATATAGTGATGGAGGTGTGTGGTTGGTTGATACTTCCCAACTTTTCATGACGTGGGAGTCGTTTGCGGAAGGCACGTGAAAGAAATTTTTTAGTGTTTCTGCAGATGTCAAAGGACATTCAGCGGAGGCTTGCCGCACACGTTATTTTTAAGATTTCACTGTGGTAACGTTGGACAAAAGGAAGGCACACTGTCTGCATTAAAGCACCTTACAGTAGGAGTGTGCCACTTTTTGGCAAACATTTCCAACTCGCGTTCGCGTAAGTAGGGTAGTATCAGCAAGCTACTGCTGCTCACTCGTAGGAAATAGGTTTGTGGTATCACCCCGTCGAGCCACCAGGATGGCGTAGCCCGCGACCGCTTATAATGTCTTAGGAATTCGTACCACAATAGCAACTGCTTTTTCTCTTACTACTTTCTAACAGCCGTTTTAAATACGATGGGTCCTCAAAGGGCAAATGTTCTCAACTGACTAGCTTGTTGGATTATTATGATAAACAAGCTCAACCACCATATAAAGGTAGCAGCTATGTGTCTTGACATTCCTATTGCAAATTGTGTTTTTCTCCCATACACCTTTGTCTACTTTGATATTAGTGTTTATCTATACACTTATTCTTTGTATGCTAATGTAAAGTGTAGCAAGTTAGACGGATGCACTACTGTGTAAGGTACTACATTGATCTTTTTTGTCTGTCTGAATAAACGATTCACGAAGCTAGTGATGATTACATCTAGAAAGACAATGAAAGCTTCGCTATCAAACCGCCAGGTTCAGAGGACCTAACGTAACCATGAATCAAAGAAAATTATTGCGATAGATAACAGAGCGATGATAGATATACATGAATTTAATGGAATTCAAGGCTAGAAGACTGAGCGTTTTATATTTTCTATATGGACAAGTTGTTAAGTCTGTTTGAAGATGTAAACATTTTCTGAAGAAAAGACACAACCAACGCCCTAGCACCTTCCTTATAGACAATAAAGTATGACTTATTTAGAAACTTCTTCTTCTATATTACAACGAATTTCGTTAAACTTCAAATCCAACTTACCTGAGCTCTATTTGTATATAAGATTTCGTAATCCTTTGCCAAATTGATTGCTGTGTATACAACTCAACAGCTTTTTTGCAGTTTCCAGCTTTAAAAAATGTATTTGCGCGATCTTTGAGTTTATCTGCACGTTCACGTTGCCTAGCTCGTCGCTGGGCTCGTTCTTGGGCATCTTGAGCAACTGCAGCCATAAACGCAGTCACATCTTCAGTTTTCCTACATGCATCTGAAATTAAAGTTAAAAATAAATTACTCGAAATACTACAAATTACAGAGTTTAGGTGATAATATAGCATGAAATTTACTGTAAATTCGAAGAGTATCAATATTAACTATCGGATTGATTTAGTATCACGAGTTAAGTGACGAGATTACTGATGTGAGTAATGTAATTTAATGTTTATGGTTGATTTTGAGTCACTATAAATCTCTAACCACAAATACTTGGTATCTCGCGAAGCCCATGTAGGTAGCCTCCACATTCGTAGACGACCGAGACCAACAGTCAGAGACTGTCTGCTTGGTGAAATATTTTGGTGTGATTACAATTAACTCACTTTCCCATTGATCCTAGTTCCACTAATATTGTTCTCAGTGAATAAAGATCCTTTGAATTCGTAATACATGTCCAAATCCCCCCCCCAGTCGGTGAAGGTTCACACTAGTCGATCCGTAGCAGCAGAAATGTTACAGCTTGATTAACTCAGAGTCTTACTGCTTCATGTTTTACATCCCACAACAATAAACCAAATGTATAAACGTAGGGGTTAGCCAAGATAGAAGAGCAGAACAAAATACTATATGGAAGCCTTCTAACGAACCCCCTAGGGTGGGTAATCAGACCCAAAAGTTAAGGTGGAATGAGAGCCATTCGGATGTATTTATAGAGACGGCTTGTGCTACATTTAAGTAAGTGTGTGGCAAAGTTAGGAATTCTTGCAAGAATTTCATAGCTAAATGTCGCATTGAATATAAAAGGCAACTAGCATTTAACTGTTTAGCCTGTCCTAAAAGATTCTACCCACATAACAGGCGCGGAACTCGAAGGTATAATAGAATATCCACTATACTTTCCAATGAGAATGTCTTGGGGAAATAAAAAAGAAAGAGACGAAAACCTATCGAAAAACTTCATTAAGGTAGACGATAACACATGCCAAGTACGACCACGGCTGAGGTCCAGAAAATGGCTCTAATTCTGGTGGACAGCGAGGCAGCGCATAGATTACTAAATAACCTAAATATGGTAAGTCACTGGGTTCCATAAGTTTACACCACAAGCTGTTACTGACCTTAACTGACATTATTAACGATCAGTTTACAGAAATACTTAATTTGTCTGTCCTAGGCCTGGTTACCTAGAAAGTAGAAAGATGTTATAGTGTACCCAATTTTCAAGGGTGACAGTAGGCAACTAGTTACCAAATATCGCCCCGCTAGTTTAACTTGTGCAGTTTGAAAGTTTTGCAGGAAATAAGGAAGGCAAAATTACTGGGTCATATGGAAACATAAAGCTTATGGGAACAGGAGCAACACAGCTCTAGACCCGAATGTTTCTGCTTAATGAGTCCGCCCTTAGCTAGGGGAGAATGTGCGGAAGCAGAAGATAATAAACTGTCTGTTAATGTGGTGTTTATTGATCTTAGTGAGGCATTTGACAAGGTTTCACACTTGGGTTTGCTGAGGAAGCTCATAGGTTATGGTATAAACAGTTAGTGGTTAGAGGACTACCTGCATTATAGGAAGCGAAGGGTCTGAGTGAATGGAGTATTATCTCGCTGGAAACCAGTTACTAGTGGGATTCCCCAGAGCATTATACTAGGGATTCCTTTGTTTCTCCCGTAAAGTAATGAATTACCAGGTATGCTAAGGTCATACTTTCCATTTGCAGGTGACTCAGATTCAGAGTTGTTCATAATACTGAAGATAGGTTAGCACTCTGGCTTAGATGAACTGATCAAATGATCTAAACGCTGGAGCCTGGAAAACAACTGTAGCAGAAGTGCAGTAATGCACATTGGTCTAGAGTTATACCACCCTTACTCACTAAATGAGTCTCATTACCTTGAGGCACAGAAAAAAGGATCTATAGGTTGTAATCAGCCATAACTAGAAAACAACGGCACACTGGAAAGCAGTACCAGCTAAGGTATTTCGCATACATTCTACCAAAAACTGTCTGACTGAAAGTCAGGCGTTCAGACGTGGTAGTTGTTGCGGGTAATTTCAATGCACAAATGGACAGGCTAGGTCGAGCAGAAAGGCACTTAGGAGGCTCCTCTGGAATCCCAGCCGAACGAAGACATAACGAAGACTGCCTAATTCAACTACGCTCAGATAAGCATTTATTTCTGATCAGCATGGACTTCAAACAGGAAGACAGATACTGTCTGATGTGGCGTCCACCGAGCTCATCTTCAGCGAACACTGATAGACCACAATCCTATAAGTCATCGCTGAAGAGGGTCGGTGGAAGACTTACCCTCCTTCTGGAGCAAGTGCTTAGACAGCGACTACGCGTTGGTTCCAGTACCTATATATTTGTCTAAATGGAATTTTAAAAATGTAGTAACAAGACCATTTCGAGTGCAGCTCAACTATGGGCATTAAGGTCGCTTTCATTCAGAAACTAACTGGACGGTTATCGGAAGTGGAAAGTACCATTCGTCCGGAGGATGGTGCCATTTCCAGTCTGCTTTAACAACAGTGATGAAGACCGTAGTCGACTATCGGGAAGAGGTTAAGAAGAGCCAGTGGATGAGTAGCTTCTGAACTAATGGAAGCATGCGAACCTATCCCTACAGGCTCCAGGTACACTGAGGAGCGAACGTAACTCAAATTTAGACTGGCAAAAAGTCTATGAAATAACCGCGAGTAGTGATGGGCAGCGAAGGCTAAAGAGATGGAAAAAGTAGCGGCGATAGGTAACAGCAGACGGTTATTTAGACTTATTGAGAAAACAAGAGAGAAAAGGTCAATCGTTAGTGAAACGATAGAGTGGAAGGATAGGTCTGCGACCTACTCGCAGGTGAGATAACTGGAATGATGGGCGGGACACTCCGACGAACAATTCAACTGGCCTTCAGCTACTAATCCGTTGATGGCCATTCGGATCCTGAATGGAACATAGTGATAGGACCCCCAACACTTAAAAAGTTCGAGAAAGGTGAAACCTGAAACGGGAAATAGCAACAAGACCAGACGGACTAGTTTCAGCGTTAAGGACGGTGATAAAGGATTTTTAGTCAAATTAAATGAAGTGTTAGCTGGTGTATGGGAGTCAGATGACCTACTCCGACTGGTCTCAATCATTGATGGTTCCAATCTTCAAGAAAGGTGGGAAGTCTTCTTGTTATAAACACAAAGGAATCAGCCTGACGAATACAGTGTAGAAGATTCTAGGTTCTGTGATTACTAGACGTCTGAACAGAGCTCATGAGCGGCAAGCTCGAGAGAACCACGTAGGCTTTAGATTTGGTTGTGAGTTAATCATTCAGATATTCGCACTGTGGCAGGTCCTAGAACACAGTCCCTCTTACTGACGTCCGACACTGGCTGTATTTCTCGACCTCAAGGTGGTATTTGATTCTCTTGATCGAGGTCTTATCGTAGTGTCACTGAAAGCCAGGTAAACTGAGTGAATCATCCAAAGTCAGTGTAGAACCTCGCACGCAGGTGCATCGACTTAAGTTGCCATACATCACAATAACATACAAACGGAAGGTGGATAGAAAAAGTGATATCAATCCACGAGCGCCAGACCAATGCAAAACAGTATAGTAGTCAAATGGAATAGTATTTTTGATCGACCGTATCAAATTAAGATGCGTCCAGACTAACTGGTTGAAAGACGGCATACCAGCAACGCAACGTAACACACAAAGGTACCAAGTGGTGTGCATCCTTGACTATGTGTCCTCAGCTTACACAGTCCGTTAAGACTATGAACGTCAGAATCAAAGCTGAATCTCCTCAAGGCCTAGGCTATTCATTTTAAAGTATTATTTGCTAATACAAGATAGGGAATGATTCTGTTTATGCTAGTACGAATGGTTTGGGGCTATAGTAATTATCTTTCTAGGATAATCAACAATTTCTAAAATAAAATTCCCAAAGCTAAAGTCAGTCTCAGTTCACTACACTGCATAAACTAACTGTCAGTGACGTCACATACCAACCAGGACATGCAAACTGCAATCTCAGCATGCAGAGATTTCTACCTCATTAAAATATGACACAATGAATCAAAGTTGGAGAAAAGTTTATCCGATTCAATTCGCCTAAACAGTGTACCTCGATTAAAATGACTTGAGAAATAATGACTGGTCGGTCTTTCCCATATCACTGCAAAAAGTCAGAAAGAAATACTAGCAAACGATTGGTAGATGAGATGGTCTATTTGCGTGTCTTGTTTCTGTATAGTGTCTACGCTACCTTAATAATAGTCGGTTATGTTCATTGCCTCAAATATACCAAAATGAAGATGAATGAGAACTGTCCATCAACTCATGTGAATACGATATTGATGTATATTGATATGGTAATGCATCCTAATATGCTAGGTTCAAATTTCAGTTCCTCCATAAAAGTGAACAAACTCCAAAATTGACCAAATATTTGAACTGTACGTGAAATGTTTTCTCTCAAAAGCTTTTACGATTTAAAAAAAAATGATAGGTGAGAATACGTACGGAATTAAGACAAGTTATCCAAATTGTCTGTGCGGTCTTCCAAGCCACGAGAGAAATGGATAGAGAATACTTTATTGAACGGCTAGCTCAAACGTTTGAGGCTGTTTATTCGAACACCCATGGGTGTGTTAGAGCCTATAACAAATTGTCAGTTGATTTGTGTACACCGAGATGCCTCCATCAAGGATACCGACTCTGTCCATTCCTGTTCAATTTCATCGCTGACGTTCATATGAAGGTTTCTGTCTTGTCATCTGACTTCTCAGGGATTGATCTAATCGCAGAAAAATCTTTGGTAGACCTAGAATACACAGATGACATAGTCCTGCTAGGTGAAGTCACTGACAAGATGCAGTCCTCTAGACATCTTTAGTGGCAATTTGTGGGTGTTTAGGATGCGTTTCTCACCGCCGAAATGCAAATTGTTGCTCAACGACTGGTCTTTAGCGGTGCCCAGTTTAACGATAGGCAGTGAAATGGTTAAGGTCGTTGGCCACTTCACTTATCTGGGAAGTGGGATCAGTCCTGGTGGGTCAGTGACCAACGAAATCTTTGCACACATTCAAAAGGCTCGATTGGCTTTCTCCAACTTAGGCTATCTGTGGCACCGCTGCGATGTCCGACTATCGACTTAGGGTCGAGTGTACTGTGCTGCAATTCCCCCTGTTTTGCTATATAGGTTGTGAAATATGACCATCAAAGTTAGGGGACACGAGAAGGCTTTTGGTGTATGATTACCGTTTCTTCCGTGGCATAGACTGTCGTGGTGTTACCACGTAAGTAACGCAAACGTTGGGTGTAATTTTAGGGAAGAGTGGAAATTCAGCTAGTAAGACCGTGAGCCTACATCGACTTAGATGGCTTGGATATGCGTTACACGTGCCTAGTGACAGTCTGTGTTGTCGCACGTTAGCTGAAGTAGGTTCAAGCTAGAAAAAGGCTAGGGGTGGTCAAACTAAAATATAGCATCACTGCATGTAGTCTTGGATTGTTGGTTGGAGTTTTCGTGGGAGATACTGACTAGCCGGTTTGGGTTCACTTGACAACAGAAACCATTGATTGGAGGTGATGTGGCTTAAAATCAATGTCAGTCGTGTGGACGTATTCCTACATTATCTTCATCTTAACCCCCTATTCTGAATTCAGCATCTCATTCTTTGTTCCCCTCTTTTATTGCTTTCTACTGTTTTTTGACCAATTTTTTCCCTTTCTTCATCCCTCATCTTACTTCTATTTTACTAATGGCGCTAACATGAGGTGTGACAACTTAAACTGGTGTGTAGTAGTACTGTTACTGATATGATTTTGATTCCACATACTATGGTCATTCAGTAGAGCTTAAGTGTTTTGATGAGTAGATGTTTAGGGCAATATATCCTACTTCTGTAAGATCTCATCTCAAATACTGCATAGTCCTTGCTTCAAGCAAGAATCAGGTACTATGGAAAAAGTACAACGGGTGAGTACAAAGTTATAGACAGGACTTTCGTACCTCCTTTATGAAAAGCAGTTGGAATGTCTGAATCTTCTCCTAT